GCTTGTAGGTGACTCAGCCTTTCAAAAACTGGACAAAAAAAAACTGGACAAAAGAAATAATATAAATCCCTTGTATCCAGGGAATTCCTTTAATTAGGAGTGGCAATGAATTAGAGAAGAAATTTGTTTTTGATATAACATCTGCAGATGACAGTTGCCTTTCACAAAGTTCTTAATGTCATTCCTTTACTAAAAAAACCCCTCCAATAACAATAATAATAAATTCCCAAAACAATATATCTCGGCAATACATTTTTGATAACATATTTTTGGGGTACCTGGCTGGCCAGTCAGTAAAGCATGTGACGACTGATCTCAGGGTTGTAAGTTCAAGCTCCATGTAGGGTGTAGAGATTATTTAAAATAATAAAATCTTAAAAAAAAATAATGCCTTTTAGTAAATTCTGGTTATTCAGTATTTTTTATTATCTTTTAGAATAAATGATTCTTCACATATTCAAAAGTTAACAACTTACTTTCCCTGAGAATTTCCCAGAATATTTTAAAGGATATGCCTTAATCTGAAAAAGGTTATTTGGTTGGGGTCGAGATAAATAGGTACGAAAATTACATATATGAAATAAAAAGAAATTTCCATAACCACATTGAGGTCAAACATACTCCACATATAATGAAGCCACACTAGTAGAAGATTTCCTTTCAAACACAGCTGCCAATACCGGCTACTCTTTGCCTTACACGGACAAATGCTTTTATGATTTCTGGTACATCAGCCTTAACCAGCATTTCTGGGCACTGGCTCCAGGTGAAGCTCCTGGGCTAGTGGGCACACACACACATACACACACACTCACACACTCACAGTAGTTGCTGAGGTTGCAAGGGAGACAAATACCACCTTGACAGCAACCTGGTGAGTTGGGGTGGCTTAGGGCAGAAAGGAGGGGCATCTAGGAACAGGAGAGTCAAACAGGCCATTGTCTTAAAGGGGCACTTAGAATTCCTGAAAAGGACAGCAGAGGACTTAGGCCCCAACCTGAATGCTACACCTGAGGAAATAAAAGTCCAAAGAAATTAAGAGACACCCATACCCACTGTGGCAGCAACAGTGGTGTCCTGCCTTCTATCCTAGCATTCCTTCCTGCCTGCACTTCTCAGAAATGACTGAATCATCCATTTTTCTCCCATGCCCATATCTACCACGGCCAAGTAAGGAGAGTCTGGAGGATATTAACATGTCTTTCACTTATAAAACTGACATTCTGGTGGAGGTGACAAGGAGGACTCTTAGCTTCTCTTGTCTTTACTGCACCCAGTCAAGGCTGCTTCAGCATGTCTGCCCTGCTGGACGGTCACTAACATGCCTGCAGGTAAACACGACAGAAACACTAAAGCCTACCTTCACAAATTCATAAAAGCAAATATTCTAATCCCCCAGATTGTTTTTAGTTGCTGAAAAAAGAAAAGCAACATGGCAATATGGAAGCTTTATGAACCCCTTTTCTACAGAACTGGGCATTTAAACAAACCGTTTCAAGCACTCATGTTCTGCTCTATATGCAAGTCTTCCCTGACTACTGACTTAGTAATAAAAGTAGAAATAAAAAATCCCTAGCTATCTGACAATAGCACATTTCTTTTCCTTGACCAAAGACTGTCAATATTTACAGGGACGAACTTACTTTTGAAAATAATTTCACAATGAAATCATGTCACTGAACCCACTAATATTTATTTTATACAAAGGTCAATAAAAACCTCAAGAAGTGAGCAGATGCTCTCAGACGTGAGGGTTTTCTGTGCTCACACAGCAAACCCACATTTCTTCAACATACCATTTCGCAAATGCTGTGTATTATTAAGAGGAGGCGGACTCTGCCAGGCACATGATTTGTATATTTAAGGGAGGTGTATGGAATGAGAAAGCGAAATATGTTAAATTTCAAAGGACTTGGAAGCAATGCTGCCTGGGAGCTTGTATTACAAATAGCCCTACATTATTACATACGCTATTAATGAGGCGGAGTGAATGAAAGTACAATTTGAATATGCATGACTCTATCCAATGAGCAGGACTTTTGTGTACTGATGAGGTTTTTTTTCCCCCTCCTAAAAAAGGATTAAAATTATTCTCAGAGAAGTATGGCTGCCCAGAGACCAGTAAAATAAATGTACTTAGACCAGAGTCATACTATATTCAGATGAAATATACAGGTGCTAAAAGAATGCTTTTGACTCTACCTATAATTCACAAAACTTGTGCATAATCCTCTCCTCCTCCAAAGGAATATTCCCCAGCTTCAAGCAGCTGTGTCACTACAGTTTCTAAGCAAAAATAACGATTTTAGTGGAGATCCCTAAAAGTAGGCAAGGTTAAATAAACCTTTTGAGTACAAAGCCTTTACTTCCACAGTGAGGAGCACTAGTTAAAAGACTGGGGAATGGGTAAATTATTGGACCAAATGGCTGAGAATTAATCTCTGCTGACTAGCTGTAATCTAACGAGGCGTCTGTGTCCCAGGGAGCCCGCAGCATGTCCCTGGCGGTATGTGCAGTGTGTCGAGTCTGCGTGGCACCCTTTGTCCTCGCTCACAGGCGGCCTTTCCCCTCATTGTCCATAATATCCTCATGCATCTGGGACGCGTGGAATGCATTCATACTAACAGACTTACCATTGTTTTCTCTCAGAAGCTTTGTTGAGCAAAGACTGCATCACGGTTACTGATAATTATATTGCTTAATTAATCAAGACAAAAAAAATTTGCAAATCATTGCCTGGTTGCCAAGCAGGGAGATAAAAAATGACAACAATACAAGCTGAAGCAATATAACAAAAGTAACAGCTATCTGATCAGAAATTCTTATATAATGAAGCTATTAATGCTAAATCGGTTAATGTTAACATTGCTCCAGGTGTCTCTACTTAGATGCAAACAAAAAGGCTAACATTATGGATATAAAAGGCCAAATGTTGCCATGGATTCTGTAACCTGATAGAGAGGACAGCCTTTTCATTTGATTAGGGAATGCAATTTAAATACCAGGGACTGAAGCCAAACAAACAGACTTTCCCTCCACAAGCCTCTTGCATTCACCCTGGGGTCAGTGGTTGGTGAACAAAAGGTCAGCCACACTTGCCCTGGAAATGTCTGGATTAATTTTATTACATTGTAATGGTTTGTACTTTAAATGTGGGGATAACACTAAATTTCCAGTTGGCCATTATTCTCTTCTTCCCTTTAGGCTTTTTGAACTGAAATATTAAGACAGCGATTTGCTCATCTATCAAAATTTATGACCGAATTTATAAAACTTACATACATTTTCTAAATAAATTTTGAAAAGGTATGTTAATACTTGTTTAATGCATTAAAAGTGTAATATCTTTTAAAAAATCACTTTTTAAGAAAGTTAGAAGTGTCACTTTCACACTGTGAACTAAAATACCTTTCATGTTCTCTACTCATTACAAAAAATAAAGGTGACATTTTTAGGATGGTAAGTGACATTTTAGAGGGCCATGTTGAAAATGAACTAATAAAGCCAGTTAATCCATACTAAATATTAAAGAACCACATTTTGCAGATTTGGAAGCTATAGGGCACTAAATCTGTTGGTTGTCTAACATCAACATTTTCAGCTTAATTCTTAAAATTAGTGTTCTTCTTGGACAAACACAAATGTTATTAACACTCAAAGCCATTTTCTTACACGGGTGAAAACTTTACACATGCACAAAGACATGAATCAAAGATAACGCAAATATTTAGTATAAAGAACTTGTGGCTTCATCACTCCACTCCCTGAATAGAAAAGAGGGTTCCCTTTATGTCAGGCTTCTCACCAGCCAGAGTGGGGCTTTTCTCAATTCAGGAGGTGACTCACGCTATGCCTAGTCTGAGAAATGGCTCATTATTTATTCTATTTGCATGGTAGTGACTGTAACCAAAAAGGTACTAGTAAGAGTAATATAACAACACAACAATTACCACTTAAATGGCTTTTATTGTGAGCCAGCCACTGTTCGAAGTGCCTTTCACTTCTTAGCTCATTTAATTTGCAGGACTTTAACACTTTAGATTTTGTTATAAATCCCAGGAAATCTCGGTTATCTATTATTATTATTATTTTAAAGCTCAAAAATAGAGAGTATTTAGAATAGTAACTTTTAGCTCCTTTGAGAGAGTAATTTGGAATGAAAATGAAAATTACACTTAATATCAACCCAGAGCACAAAGTCATTTTCTTTAGGAGTGACTTAACTATGCTACACGTTTAATTAAAAACTTAGAAACAAACCCTCCTATTAATAATTCCAACACAAAAACAAGTCACTATATAAAGCACTGCTGAAATACCACTAAAGACATGGCAAGGATCAAAACCGTAGCCATAGCCAATGTAGTACACGGCACAGAACCACTGGACTGTTCCAGCCATTTCCACGATCAATACCAACTGATGTGGCTGCACTGATTCTGTGGCAAGGTGCTTCAATTGTTAAAAATCATCACATGGGCGGGCTGTGCTGCAGAGGCCTAGGCTTCTTCACGGCCATGCCCGCAATCCTTCAGGATTGACCCCTATTAACGGCAGTCGGAGGCTCAGTGAGCACTGCCTGTCTGTCACGCAAGGTCAAATTCTATACCCACAGCCATCCACAAAATGCTAGATGTGACACGGGGTTCATTCAACTATTATTATTATTAATCCATGAGTTCCAAATTTGAAATTACCATTTTTTAAAATTAAAAAAAATTTAAATTCAAAACATTTAAAATACCATTAATGTCTTCACACTATAACTTCCAAAGAGTCTTGTAATACAAATACAGAATTCTGTATTCTTGAGGAAAGATACTCTGAAAATCCCAATTCATACTGAATTTCCATATAGCAGGTGTAATTCAGATACATGTGAGACATGCACCAGTTGGAAAAAAGTCCCCTTTAACATATTTATAACATCGTTTTTCAAAAACAGTTAATCATATGGCAAATGCTATATGTCAGGGCGTACCTAACAGGTGAAAACGTACCTCAGGTTTCTTTGTGATTGCGATAAAGAACATGTGATTCTTCACTGGGTAAATAATGATTGAAACGTCTCCAAAGGCGGTCGGGATAATGCCCCTGCGGTAATCCCTGGAGTGTTCAGACCAGACGATGTGGACCTCGTCGTTCCCCAAGTGACGGAGCTGCAATGGCCAATTGGCTCTTTATTAATCAGAGTGATAACAGCAGTTTATGAGGGGTCGTGGCTTACAAATTGAATTATAATACTCAGAGGCAAAAATATTTCACTACTAAAAAAAGGTATGATACCACTGTCTTCTACGAGGATTTAAAAGACACAAGCACATGAAAACACTGCTCACTTTCTATGAAATACACGGGCACTGAGATGATGCATATAAACATGGCAGGTACATTATGGTGGGAAGGGGTCAAGACCTTTTCAAGAATTTTTTTAAATTAAATTTTACTCTTGTATTTAAAGCCCTTTGCTTTATATTGCTGAGCATGTCTCCAAACAATTAACGAATGACATTAGCCTTTTATTCCATATTACAATAGAGCTTCATAAGACTCTTTAATTCAATGGTTATTAAGAAAAAAATATGACTATGAGACCAAATGCCACTTTAACACAATTGTTACCAAATGTATAAAAACTAGATTTGTGACAAAGCTTTAAGAAAAAGTGTGTATTAAATTACCTTCGTCTAAGAAATAATATTACATAAATTTAATAAGAACACTTGATTAGCATTCAGAGAGTGCCTTACTAAATATAAAGGATATTCACATGGATTGTTTCCTTTAATCTTCCCACTAACTCTTAGGCAGATGACATCATCTTTGTGTTATCTGACAGGGAGGAGATGGGTCTCAGGAAGACAAAGGCACCACCTGACCAAGGTGTGAAATCAGTGAGTAGCAGAGTGGGTATGGAGATCTGGGCTGGGGCCTCTAACTCTGTGCCATTTCTCCTGCTCATGGCCATCTAAGTCATCTCCAAAAGCCAACTGTACTGTCACAGCTCAAATAGGGTAGCCCATTGTTTTGGTCATTTTATTGACAAAAAGGCCATAAAGTCCAAAAACAAGTCAGAGACCTCAGAGGGTCTGCGGAGGGCTTAGCATGCCTCCAAGGAAGAGACTCTTTGAGACTTCCCCGCCGTCCAAGCTTTTCAGATGCAAGAACACTCTTGCTGAAGGTCCTGCATACCAACTGAACATCCTGAGCTATAGAAATCCACACATGAAATTGTCTGGTAAGCCTGAAAGTGTGGCTAAAAGAAAGTAGGTTACAAACATTAAAATGTTGGCCAAAATTGAAGTCCTACAACCATAAAAGCTGACTGGAGAAGGCCCTTTAACACCTACTGAAAATCTGAGGTCTGGTTCTCTCCCGTGCTTGAGAAGAATGCCACCATGAAAAAGAATTTCTTACTTCTCATCTTATTTAATAGATTAGCCCTAAAAATGACTAAATTCAGATGCACTGTTAATAAAATATGTTGTACCAAAGGTAATGTGGTTTTATATTAAAATACAAAAAAAAGGATTTTTGGAATATCATGTATTTAAAACATGTTAGCATAAATAAAATTTTCTTTACAGACTATTTGACCACAAAAGAAAAATCTGAGGGGACCCCAACATGGCCTCCTTTCCATTTACAAGGTTACAAAGGAATTTGGTTTGCTGCAATGCTTTCCTATTCTTCACTCTTTCATGCTTCTGGGAATGACTGTGTAAGTCTATTTTTTAAAATGGCTTATATTGGTACCCTTGTACTATAGTGAAGTGCATGTGCAGTTGCAGGTAACCCCTACAGTAGGAGGCACACAATTCACCCATGTCTGAACTTGGGCTCTGGGATAAAGGCAACTCTGTGTGTTGAGCACAAGTCATATGATCCAGAGCAATTTAATGGTGTCTACAACTTTCTCAATGTAAAATTTCCCAGTATATCTCTTTTCTTCTTTTTTCTCTGTCACATAAAAAGGCTAAAAGGGTAGCAGGGAAAAGGTGTAGCCAAGAAGCCATTACTATCCATAAATAGTTAAAGGAAAGACACCAAGTTCTTACAGCAATACTGCATGAATGTCTCTATATTTCTCTACTTCCACCTCTCTTTCTTTTCTCTTTTCTTTTTTAATAAAACATGCCAGGCTCTCTCAACACACTCCTGAAATTCAATCGTTTTGGAGTAAAAACATGGTAGTCAGCATTATCAGCAACACAATGAAGGCAGGTTTTCAAGGGAAACAGGAATTCTATCAAATTTAAACTTTTGGGGGGAATTTAGGCCAACAGAAGATAATTGTGACAGTGGGGATACTGTCATCCTGTAAAGAGGGGCAAACTTCCAGGTGGTTTTGTTGTGCTCTTTGATAAGCCAGCACAAAAGTCGCAATGGGAACAATACACCTACTAAACACCCTACAAATGTGGTAGCCCACCTAATGCTAGCACCGTAAAACCTGTGAGGCTCCTTTCAATCTAGAAGTGTAAGTTGCTTAAGGCATTAGCTCTGAGGTAATACAGTGATTACTGAAATTTTGCAGTCACTCTCTCTTTTCTCAATTAGGTTCCTCAATTATATAATCCAAATAAGTTTCTTCCAATTCTGTTTGGATTGTGTTCTCAGAACCGTAGCAAGGGAGAACAGTATCCCACTGACAGACCCATCCCCCCAGTGTGGCATTTCTGTAATTAAGGAAAAGCTATTTCTGTGTGGTAATGATATGATACTCATCATCTCAAAGCTTTCAATGTCATGTGCTCCAGATCTCTGGACAAGTCACAGTTTAATTAGCTAACTCTTAAAACTAAGAGCTGAGGCCACGGGACCCACTGGTAGATCTGGAGCAAAGGGCAGAAACATGCTCTCTTCTACCTCAGACAAGAACCCAAGCCAGTGAAACAAGTAAAGCTAACTCAGCCAAGATGTCCACCATGTCAGAACAGGAAGGAATACTCTGGAAACTTCACTGTGTTGCTCAGTTTAAAAGGGGATTTCATTACAAAGATGTCATTTTGTAAGTTCTGGAGAATTCTGAATAGAGGTTCCCAAATTGAAATCCACCAGTGAGTTTGTTGTGTGCGCACAAGTCAAGCTGGTATGACTCATGTATAATGTGGGAGAGACTGATGAATCTCGTCCTGGGATGGAGCTGTCATTCACGCCAGCAATTGCTTCAGTTGCACAACAGGCTCCAGAATGTGTGGATGCCTAACAGGCTTGGAACAAATGCTTGGTTCTTCAGTCTTAAGAAATCAACCCCATGTCCTGCCACTTCTCATCCTGACAGAGTTTTAAAGTTCCTCCGCCCGGGCCATTCTGCCTGCTGCTGCCAGGCGGCATGCACTGGTGACACTGGTCATGGTACACACCTAATAGGGTGACCTCCTTTCCCGACTAATTGCATTACATCGCCAGCTGGCTCCAGAAGGAGTCGTCTGTTTGATTGAAGAATTCCTGCTCCTCAGTGGGCCCGGCTGCTACTTTTACTAAGTAACAGTCAGGCCTGACATCCCCATTGTTCAGCTGACAGTGTGCCCATCCTAAAATCTAAGTTTTATTTGTAAATTAACCAAGAAACTTCCTGCCAGAACAGTGCTGCCTGGAGACTGATAATGTGGGCCTTTCATCCCTTTTCACTCGTACTGTATCACTGCCAATTTGTTTTTTATGCGGCTGGCCAGCCTGAGGCTATAAAAGCCTTGTAAGACATAAGTGCAATTATAGTCCTGGAGTCAAATGAATTGGACAAATCCAATAGCACAGCTCTGTCCCCACTCTGCAAACCCCTACAGCAGTTAGATTAGCTGTGAAAAATCTAATCTAGCTAGAGCTAACAAATTTCTGCAGTGAAGGATCAAGAGTTCAGTATGGGGTTGCAACCGGATTGCAGAATTGAAAAAGTACCCCCATGACAGGGGCAGAAGAGAGCATGAATCACTTTAGAATTTTGCAGCTCATTTTTAAGCTGTTAGGGACAATTTAGTTAGAATAAGACAAGGAACTGTGGGCTGCTGTTACTGTGACTGATTTTTAGTCTGGCTGTGAGACATCCTGATAAAGAGAGTTTGTCACTAATGATGCTAAATCTCAGAGCTTCAAAAGGTATCAGCTGAATTTTGATTATTACAGTAGGGAATCTTTCAACCAAGCGAAGCCTTGCAACATTATTTATAGCAGGGCGTTTTAACAAGAAAACATGATGTCTGTTCTCAAAAAAGAAAAAAAAGAAGAGAAAGAGAAAAAAATAAAAGAATCCTGCCTAGGAAATAATTTTTAAAAACATTTTAAATAAACCTATTAACAAAATAGTTCTTGGGATCCCTGGGTGGCGCAGCGGTTTGGCGCCTGCCTTTGGCCCAGGGCGCGATCCTGGAGACCCGGGATCGAATCCCACGTCGGGCTCCCAGTGCATGGAGCCTGCCTATGTCCCTCTGCCTATGTCTCTGCCTCTTTCTCTCTCTCTCTCTCTCTCTCTCTCTCTCTCTGTGTGTGTGTGTGTGACTATCATAAATAAATAAAAATTAAAAAAAATAGTTCTTGGTCATAAAAAAAAATCATAGAATATGGCAACACATTTGTGGATTAGCAGCAATTTATGATGTACTACAAATAAAGAGGATGTCGAAGCTTTCCCTAAGGTCTTGGTAATCTGAAAGAGAGCAGGGTCCCCTTCAATAAGAATGTTGCCACCAGGGTGGCCACCAAAATCTAAGACATGGAGGCAGCTCCTCTATGGCCATCATGCTTTGCACAATCCAGACACTTAGTCACTGTGAAAGCTGTCTGTGATTGTGCCATGACCCAAGTTCTGAGATCTTATGGACACCACTGCCTACAATATAGGTGGTCTAGACATCTGAGGCTGCAGTGATGATAAAGCAAAACTGCAGAGAAAAGAGATGAGGTGGTAAGAGCAGGGCCTACTGGCCAGTATCAGTCACCCTCTCATAGGGCAGGTAAGAAAAGATTCAATTAGACCGTGGGCAATGACGAGGGCTGACATTAGCGATCTTACACCAGGCACCATGCTAAGCAGTTTCACGGGCATTATTCATTTACTTCACAACAACCCTGGGACATAGGCTATTTTTAATTTCATTTAGTAGATGGGGAAGTTGAGGCATGGGCCAGTAACTGGATATACAGTTGAGCCCAGGTTCTGCTTGTCTCCAGACTTTGGCTATAACCACCATACTGGATCCTTCAATGGCAGCCTTAGCTCCTAAATGAACCATTTTCCCACCCATTCAGGTGCTGTCTGCACTTGTCTTGCATCCTTGTAGAAAGAGAGTGGGTGTGAGGTAGGGATTCCAGCCTACCCACCACCAAGCTAGTTGCAGTTGTTCCTTTCATCTGGAGTCAGATTTCTAGGCTTCCTTCCCAGACTAAAATTCTTCTTCTGTTAAGGTGCTCATCACCTCTAACAGAGGATCACCTGAGGTGAACATCCTGTAGGTTAGAGGTTAAAGGCCATGTTCCCCTGGGGAGGTCCTCAGAGGTGAAGGAGGTTTCCTCTGGATTCTAGAGAAAATTGCCTCCAGGGCCCAAATTGGAAGAGAAACAAGGTTAGTACCAAACGTGGGACCCCTAGGCAGGAGCTCACCTGCACCTGTCATTCTCACAGATATTACCCAACTGCCCCCAGCAAGCCTGAGAGGTGCCTGCTTTCTCAGCTCTCTGTCAGTACACGGTCCTTGCATGTTACCACCTTTGCCAAATGAGAGGTCAACAATGTTATTTTCTGTCAGTTAACGGTCAGGTGAGGGGAGAACCAAAATTAATAACTATGAAGACCCTTCCTTTTCCTAAATCCTAATCTCAGGATTTAAGGCTTAAATGATCTGATTGTTTTTTCATTTCCTTCTTTGTCTAGTTTGTGCCAAGCTAGATATTTCAGATTAACTACAACTGTAGCTTGAGAAGAACTACACTGAAGTTGCATCCAGAGGAAATCAGTCTTGGTGCATGTTATGCCAAGGCCTTTGGTCTGGACTATGAGAGCCCCACCTACAAACAATGGCAGCTTAGGATGGTCCTCAGAGAGGCTGCTTACCTTTTTGGTGAGTGAATCATCTGAGTCTGATGGCATCCGAGTTGAAACATGGAAAATCACTTCCACAGTCGAGGTAGCATAGTAAGGGGCAGTCTGCCCTGTGCTGCCGTTGCGCTGAAGTCCACCCATGAACCCGCAGTGGGTTGAGAGATCCACCTGATGCAGGCAACAAAAGGAACGAGTGAGGGTCAAGCCTGAATTGTCCTCATTCACCAAGCAGGAATGTCTGTTTTTTAAGAAAATCTATTTTCATTTTTATAGCTTTCTGATAACAAACGTAATACTAAATTAGATAAAATTGAAACCTCAAAGAAACATTAACATGAAAGTGCTCCTAAATCTTATCAACTTAAGAAAACCACCATCACAAATTTAGTGCTTATTTCTCTAGTTTTTTGCTTCCTATATGTATGTATATATGTGTTTATATGTTTACGTGTGTGTATTTATATGTATTTATGTACACACATACAGAGTTTCCCTACTAACAGATTTATGGGATTATCTGCTTTCCCAAACACTGCTGTGTGGTCAAACCATAAGGAGCATTCAAAGGAATGTTTTGGTAGGATGTTGTATTAAAGGGTACAGATGGTTTAAAATTTAACGGCCATTGCTAAACTATCATTCAAAGGAGTTGTTCTGATTTACACCACTAATGTAAGTTGGAATTACTCTTTTTCAAGCTATGGTGTGAATGCTCACTTGTTAGTGCCAAGGACCCATTTTTTTAAATTTAATTTTTCATTTTTTTTTTCAGTAAAAGCACCTGTTGTAGCATAATCCAAAAAAAGCAATAGAAGAATCTCTTTTGTACCAAATACAATCAATATATACACTAAATTAATGTTCTAGTCTTTTCTTAAAACTCTAGTTAGGAATGTGTGGCTTAAAAAGAATTATTAGTTAAATGATTAAATATATTCTACAGCAAATAATAAGTCACTTTATTAGTAATAAGGATAATTTATTGGAGTACAGGAACTCTTTTAGACTATAATTTACTTGACATTTTATAAAGCACATGGTCTTGACCTTGATATAGGCTTCTCCTGTCCCTATCTCCATATTAGTTTCCTTGCTTAACATTTAACTATCAGAGACAAGTCTTATTTATGCCCCCAGAGAGTTTCCCACAGCACAGATAACCAGGAAACCAAAACAAAAGTAAGGAAAAGTAAGAAAATGACTTCAGATATGCTGATTTCCATTATAACTACTCTGAGTTCTTTTAGATTCTGAAAATATATTTTCCTTTAGGTTTATGTTCTTAGAGACAGATGGGTGTGCGTGTGTGCACGTGTGTGTATAAACGTATATGTCCACCTGTCAAAGTATCATTTAGTAGAGAAAAAGCACACTCTTTCATTATCAGTCACTCTGGGGTCTCCCTTAGGGAAACAGGTTGACTGCTAAACCATCATAGCTACTCTGTTCTATTTTCACGACAATTTGTGACTTCATCCAGCTCTTTTTTCATGTTTTCACTCACCATGTCACTGATTTATTTTCTAATCTCCATATGATAGCCAAAGCCAATGCCTCTCTGCCCATATTTATCTTCTCATACCACAAACTGTCTATGGCTAAATAAGTCAATCTGATTATTTGGTACAGATAAAAAGCAGATGAAATAATACTAAAGGAAAAGTTATAGGAAACAAAAGTTCATGTATGAAGTACTGAAAAACAACTAACAGAAGATGTCAAACTTAATACATTCACTAACTCCAGGATGTTATCCATACTAGATTTGAATGAGAAAGCTTATATAATTGATGTCCAGTTTACATATATATCCTTAAATAGTGCTGGTCAATAAACAGCTCCTAAATGAAATTAATTACCTCCCATCCAAGTCCGGCAACAAAGTCTTCATATGCTTGGCTTCCTCTTTCATTGGAAAGGATTGAACACTTGTCTTCTTGACCTTCAGCAATGTAAAACACTGCAATTTTGTGTGTTTCACGGCTATAAATTTTTAAATTTAAAGAAGTTAGAAGTCTAACATTTAAAATTTTATTTCACTACAACCACTAGCATGCTTCCTGATACAGAGCTTACATTTATGGAGAATTTACTAGGTAAGGGTCGGTCACTGTTCTGAGGAGGTTTGACTCACAGTCTTATTTACTCCCTGCAAATACTCTAAAGAGACAAGTAATTCTCATCACCTCCCTCATAGAGGTGGTTGAAATAAGGAACGGAAAATTAAACAAAAAGCACACATAGCAAGCAGGAGACCAGAAATTGAAGCAGGGCAGTCTGGTTCTTGAGATCACTCTTTCAGACATGTGCTATATTTAACAGCATGTTAGAACACACTCTCCATTTTTGGTGCAAAAAAGTATGTGAAAGCACTTCACACAGATATCAACTGAGACTAGATCTATGTGACTGCCTATATTTTACTTAACGCACTTTGAGATAAGGATATTGGATAGCTCCCTGACTAGAACTGTAGAACATGCCAACACTTTATAAGAAACAGAAGCTTCTTCCCAGCAGAACACACGTAGGTACTTTCTTTGTGGAGAGATCTACCCACTCTGTGCTCCAACTAATCTGAGGTAACTTAGTAGGGTGGACAGATGTCCAGGGAAATCTCTTAGGCCATATAAACACTTCACCCACTTCCTCCATGATGGATTTTGGGCATTTTGCTATTAAATCAAGTAAATGTGATGTGTACTTTGAGGAAAGGAGTCCTGCCTTTTGGCCTTTTGTAAAAAGGTACTTGACATATAGCAGCTGCTCAGTTAAATCTCTGTTAACCAGAGACCCAATGCTACTATATAAATATTTTAATGACCAATTTCTAAAAATTATACCCTACAGTGTAAAGTGTCAAAATCATTAGACTTTTACCCAGAAGTTTGGTGATAGTTTAGAGATGAAGACACTGTGCTAATTCAGAGCTTCCATTAAGAACTACTCATTCCATGGCCCCATCACCCAAGAGTTTTTACTCTGGTCCCTATTTTCTAAAATTTCAGATTACCACCTGCATAGCAGTTCCATCTTTATTATTATTTTTGCATTGCATTCTGAAAAATCTCATAGGAAAAACAAGTGCTCAAACAATACAGAAATGTTACTATTGTCTTAATTGTTCAACATCTCAACAGTATAATCTGATTAGACATCTACTGGTGGAATTTGGACTCCATATTTTAACATATTTGTTTTTTTGTGTTTTTTTCTTTAAATATTTTATTTATTTATTCATCAGAGACACACACACACACAGAGAAGCAGAGACACAGGCAGAGGGAGAAGCAGACTCCATGCAAGGAGCCTGATGTGGGACTCGATCCTGGATCTCCAGGATCACACCCTGGGCTGAAGGTGCACTAAACCGGGGGATGCTCTATTTTAACATATTTGTAAATATTTCCTTCTGCAGGAGTTATGTTTCTATTTAATAAGCAGAATGAAATGAAATTCAACTAAAAAGGTAATAAAAATTAATCAAGGAGGAGAGTACTCTCCTATTTACCTACGTAGCCTATTCATTCCCCCCATAGATTACGTAAGAGAAATGCACTTAAGAGGAAAATTAGAAAATATTGAAAGAGAAGAATAAAAAATTCACTTACATTTCTTGTTTTTATGTTGAAATTGCAACTGTTATCATTTTTGGATGCATTTTCAAATACCATCGTGAGAAGCTACTATATCCTGTTTTACAATTGATCATTTTTACTTAAAATATTTGTGAACACTTTTTTATTGTGTATTTTTATTGTGTAAAAATGCATCACACAAAAGTCACCATTTAAACCATTTTTGAGTGGGATCATTTTTATGCCATATACTTGTATGACAAAGTTATTAATAGTTGTGTAACATTCTAGTATATGAATACACCTTATTCCAAATCCTCATCATCACACATTTAAGTTGCTTCCAGTTTTAAAGATAGTGTGCTTTATCTTTGATAATGTCCTTAGAACACATTCACAGGAAAATAATGTTGATCATTGCTCATTTTTAAGGGTTTTGATAAGTACTATTCTGCTGCTTCTAGAGAAGGTGGACATCCTGAATGCCCTGACTGGTATGGTATAAGCACACAGTTGAGGGTACCTCTCTTAACGGGAACAGTCTGCTGGGAGAAGAGGGAAGTTTTGTGGTGATGGGTCCCCGGGACTGATGCTCTAGAGTAGAGATCTTGTGCTCTCAGACTTTCAGAAAGCCTGTCCTCATGCAGCATGGAGCCCTGAAACTGCCACACCATTTATTCCCTGAGTGACAGGCAGGAAACACTGGCAGTCTAGAATCTGAATAGTTTATTCTAAGAGCCTCTAATTTGGAGGCTAGGATGATGACAGTGTCCATAACCTATGACCTGAAAGACTGTCTCTTTCAACAAAAGGAAGAAAAATATAGTCACTCAATTTCTTTCTGCAGCTCTTTCTGCATATTCAAAAGTCCTCGGCATGTGATTATTCTCTATTCTACACACATTCATAAATATATCAAGACCATCTCAGGTCTATCTGAAACATTTTTGTTGACTCTCCTCAAAGTCCAAGCTTTTTATATTTTAGCTGCTCACAGGTCCTTGAGTCCTCATTAACTCAACATGGGAGCATAAGAGCTAAGCCCCAGTGACTGCCTGACTAATGTAGGTGTGAGGAAAGGTGACCTTTAGCTGTAAACATTCATCAAATTTCACATCCTCCAAAATGTTAGCACCACAGAGAGCCTGCTAAGATCAGACGCTGTGTCTGGTCTTATTAGAGCCAGGCTTTTGAGATGATAATTAGCAACAGCACTTCATATCCATAAGCTGCACCACCAATGCATGAAGGAGCAGGTAACTCAGGAACACATGCGCATAAAATCAACAATTTCCTCTTCCTCATTAGAATGCATTTTTCTTTCTTATTAGGAATAGACTAGAATAGCTCAGTTTCCTTGTGCTGTCACATTAAAAAGCCAAACAAAGAAAAAACATGATTTTAACTTTCACCTTACCATGTGGTGACAAGAGGTATTAATATTTAAAAGAGCCCACTGTGATTTGCATGTATGTTCATCATACTTTTTACATCTTCCCTATCTTCACAGTATAGAGATGAGAGTTGCAAGACAGTCCCTACTTTTCCTAAAAACATGGTAGGCAGGAACTATACCTTAACAGCAGGAAGATAAAGTGGTATCAGAAATAAATAGAGCCACTGTAACTAAAAGTTGAGGACAAAGAATGTTTCTACCTGCTCAGTGACCAATACATGGGACAGTCTAGATCTCCGATACCTAGAGTCCCCAACCCATTTCCATTTTTTCCCAAAAAGAACCTCAAAAACAACCTTCATAATAAAGTAAGTTGATATTTTTTTTAAGATATTAAGAAGATGCTATATCCAGGAGTTGGGGTTTTAAGCGAAGGTTAATCAAGGGACAGAAGATTGGCTGATCAGCTCTCCAAAGCCATATTTTACAGCAACAGCACCCCAGGGAGCTCATTCAATTGTACCTCATGCAACTAAAGTGCATTAACACTCAACAAATTGGCCACAATTACAAGACACCAATGTATTCACTTAATTCTAAGAAGCATGGAATAATTCAGCATAAGCTTGAAAAGCCAAGTTTAGAACCCAAGTGACTGCTTGTTTAATACTGGAGGACAAGAGGGAGAGAGAAGTAAACCCCTGAGTCCTTCACAAGAAACCCCTTGCAGAGTCTCCACAGTGAATTTGGTCTCTATTCCTCTAGAGACAAAGCAGCATAACAACAATTGGGAAACTGAATATGGTGAAGGGCAATGTGAAGAATAATGGCTTCAGGTTTTTCATCTGTAATGAGCTATCTAATGATATTCCTGCAGAGAATTAAAGGAGGACAAAAAGCTGTTTTTTTAGAAAATGAGCTTTTTAAAAACTAAGATTAAAGAAGCAGTTGATTCATGACTTTTAAGCACCTGTTTTGTACCAAGCACTACACTTACTGTTGCCTGAGATGGTGTTGGAAGCACACATTTCCCCACATCAAAAACTGGTCATGAGTTTATCTTTAGAATTGCTTCGAAGACTGTACAGAAAAGGGGCAGAGCTGAGATTTTACCAGCTTTGAGAATAAGGCTCACTACTAGGGAGTTACTAACTGAAACACACTGGTTTTAAGCTTGCCAATGTTGCAGATCAAGGACTACAGCCAGTGCACGGGCACACAGCATGGGCTATGAAGTCAAACTAACTTGGTTTGAACAACATGTGAACACAGGTAGGCTGTTTGAGCTAGGTAAGCCTCTAATCCTCCCTAGAGAAAGAGGTGGCTGCAGAAATTAAATGAGAATGAATGTCCACTGGCTGCCAAATGAAAAGGTCCTCAACCACAGACACAGATTAGGTGGAGGCAATTACCTCTTCTATTAGCATAGCAAGCATGTATGGTTATCTTCAAGGATAAAAATACTAAAGGTATGGCATGTGCAGATGTCACCAGATTCTGGGTGTCTTTGTAAGTGGACTCATTCCTGCAGCTCTGTCATCCAAGAACACACAATGACAGACAGGAAGAAAGTGATCTAATATACTTTCACATACCACTGACGTGAGTCCAGATTTTTTAGCTCTCTCAATAGTTTTGAATTTTTCTTCAAAAGATGGAAATTCTTTCTATAAAAAAAAGAGATGGAAGAAAAGCTGAATAACCACAGACCAATATTGCCCTTTCCAATAAATTAACAAACTTACTGATTCATCCATCCATGTACCCATCCATAACCCTCCTCATTCATGAAATATTTGTGATCTGAGCCCACAATATGAACTCCATTCTCCTTAAGACATTCAAAGGCACCAAAATTCCATGGCATCCCATGACTATCCATTGGCACTGATGGCTCTGAGGTGAATGAGTGTGTCACTGATGTACATGAGCCTGTGCTTGTTTTCAGTATCAGCTCAAAAGGAGAACCCCTTTTCCCTACTTCTGTCCTTAGCAACTCCACTCCACAGTCAGGGTTGAGCTCAAATCCACCCTTCCACAGAGGTTTCCTCACCATCCCACATTTTGTTATCAGTTTAACTGTTCCTCTTGGACTCCTGTGTCATGCTATCTTTCATCAGAGTTGTGCCAAGTCTACCTCCTTCACCAGATCTAACATGAGATGGTGGCTTATTCATCTTTGTAGTCTATCCGCATCTTTTGTGATGACAGAAGCAATAATGGACAGAACGGTAATTAAAACACACATGCAAACAGAAAATGTCTGATATCCTTTAAAATATACAAGAGATGTCTGAAATTCAATCTCTGCCTTAGTACGGCACAATTAGTTCCACCTATAGCTTTAACTTAGCAGCACAAAATAAGCTGTAAATGCAGAAAGAAAGATCTCCATTTGTATTCTCTGCTTCCCAAACTTCAAATTGAGAGCAAGAACAAGCACCCCAAAATAATGATAAAATAGCTGAAAGTCTAGAGAGGATTGTTACCTTCTGTCCCAAGAATTCATCCCCAAGTCATCAAGCAACAACCTGCAGAAATAAAAGGGTCCTGGTGGCTCCACTGGGGAGGGCTGCTCCTGGCTGGAGACTTTCATGGCCAAGTCAGAGTTACACCTCTGGATATAGTCATCTTCTTGGGCCTTCTGGCGCAAAATGACCTCGATGATTTCCTTCTCCTGGTCACGGTTCATTCCCCGAGGGGGTGGGGAGGGCTCATTTAGATTTAACTGTGATGGTAAAAGGCATTCCGGACTCGTGTGGCCAATGTTTTCAAGTAATTTGTCAAGGACATCATCTCCCTCCTCAGTTTGAGAAAAATCTTTCTGAGCTCCCAAAGCTTGAGGTTGCCAGCCTGAAATCAGAAATGCTGGATTTGTGCTGCTGGGTGCTAAGCAGCCCTCCAAAGGTCCATACAAAACCCTCCCATCCCAAGAGTACTTCCCTGAGATATCCCGCACAATTACTCGGACGTCCGACAGGGTGCCCCCTGGGGAGCCCCCCGCAGGCCCTTCTGAGGGTGTCTGAAGGTAGGAGATGAGGGTGCTGTCGTTGAGCACAAAGAGCTGTAGGTTTGGGCTCCGGAACACCTCGGAGGACAGCTCAGGAGCCTCCGTGTGCACGTTGTCGTGGTTCTCGCTGACTAGGCTGTGCAGCACGGCGGGGCCCCCACGCAGCGGGAAGTGGCCCAGGTGATTCACCAGGTGGGCCATCACCATGCGGGCGGTCAGAGGGATCAGCTCCAAGCTCCTCCTCTTCCGCTCTGGGAGCCAGGGTAAGGCAACAGACCAGACAGTGGAGAAGGAAGGTTAAAATCTCTACTTGGAATGTTGGATTTGTTTTAGTCTGGGCATTTTTTCCATCTGTTTTTTGACACTAATTCTACCTGAATAAAAGTACAATTTAAATAGATTACTAAAAGAACCAACTTTCACAAAGATCTCATTCTGAAAGGGATATTTAAAAATCTGGAGATACAGCAATAAACAAGAGAAAGTTTCCTGTCCCGGAAGGGCTGGTGGTTAAGGAAGTTCTGGGAGTTGGAAACCTGTAGCTGGAGAGGATCTGGTGGGAATGGTGGTGGGCTGGGGGTCCAGGCCCCAGGGGTTACCCTACACTCCCCCCACCAGGGTAAAGGCAGATTCTGCTATAGGAATCAATCAAGCCTTGGTAGATGGATTCAAAGCAGTTGGCATTCTTTGCAAGAATGTATGTTTTGCCCAAAGATTCAGATGCAATGAAACGCCGGGACACCTGCACCCCGATGTTTCTAGCAGCCTTGTCCACAATAGCCAAACTGTGGAAGGAGCCTCGGTGTCCATCGAAAGATGAATGGATAAAGATGTGGTTTATGTATACAATGGAATATTCCTCAGCCATTAGAAACGACAAATACCCACCATTTGCTTCAACGTGGATGGAACTGGAGGGTATTATGCTGAGTGAAGTAAGTCAATCGGAGAAAGACAAACAGTGTATGTTCTCATTCATTTGGGGAATATGAATAATAGTGAAAGGGAATATAAGGGAAGGGAGAAGAAATGTGTGGGAAATATCAGAAAGGGACACAGAACATAAAGACTCCTAACTCTGGGAAACGAACTAGGGGTGGTAGAGGGGGAGGAGGGCGGGGGGTGGGGGTGAATGGGTGACGGGCACTGAGGGGGACACCTGACGGGATGAGCACTGGGTGTTATTCTGTATGTTGGTAAATTGAACACCAATAAAAATTAATTTATTAAAAAAAAAAGAATGTATGTTTTGTTGTTTGGGAATTTTAAATATTTAACAGAATCTGATATATTAATTAACTCATGGAAATAGGCTTTAACTGAATTTGCAGTTGATGATAAAATGCCCAAGGGCAACTGACTTACACAATTTTTAAGGCTTCAGGGGCACCTGGGTGGCTCAGTGGTTAAGTGCCTGCCTTTGACTCAGGGCCTGATCCCAGGGTCCGGAATCAAGTCCCACATCAGGCTCCCTGCAGGGAGGAGCCTGCTTCTCCCTCTGCCTATGTCTCTTCCTTTCTCTGTGTGTCTTTCATGAATACATAAAATCTTAAAAAAAAAAAAATTTTTTAAGGCTTCAAATATGTAGAAAGACAGACACTAGCATGTAAAGGTGGGCTCGGTGAAATGCTGGAGGTATAAGGGAGAAGCAGAGAAATAATCTGTAAGCATATAATGAAACAACCACTTAAGCTTCAGCATGGTCAGGGAAATTGTAATCTGCCAAAGTTAGAAAAGAACTATGTATTAATCCAAGTACAAGTGAAAACGAAAGTTTTAAATTTCAACAAAAAATATCACTAGATATTTAAATACGGTAAGATTTACACTTTGGGCTTAAAGGTTTAGGAAATACTTGATTTCTAAATTCACAACAGAAAAATCTGATATTTAAATACAAATAACTATAAATTATGCTTTCTGATGCTAAACATCTTCCCTCTCAGACATTAACAATTCAATGGATTTACCTATACCACATCAGTTATACCACGATGTATAAACCTAGCAAGAAACTATCAAATCCTAGAATGTAAAAAATTCGGTGTGATGACTGATGAACAGATTGTCCTGACTTTTCTTGAATTTCTTTTTAATTCTTACTATTCTGTGAATAAGAAATTGCTGTATTCAATAATGTAAAATAAAATTTCACATGAATACTTCAGTTTTCATAGGCAGAGGTCATGTACATCCATCTCTGACATTAAATTCTCCTTTCTGACCCTCGTACAAGAGCGTATGATTTCCATACAGCTGAGAAATTTAAATACCTCAACTAATTCCCCTGAAATCACAGTTATGAATGCCTTTGCTTTTGTGTCCATATTAACTTTTTCAAAAGTTACAGATGCTTTTTATTCATGCTTATCATTCCATATGAATATACACTCTGTCAGAAATGTTAATGCCCCAAACAACAAAAGCATGGCCAGCTGGGGGTTCAAGGAATACGGTGTAAGACCCAGTGGGGTGATGACATGATGGAGCAGGCTATGAACTAATGACAAAGGTCCGATTTGGTGAAGCCCAAAGCACACAATTACTACTAGAAAACCAACTTTCCTCTGCTTTTACCTATGTAGGTTGTGCTTTCAATTTGAGATAAAGATTTGTATTTTAATGAATGTGTTTGAATTCTACAATGGGAAATTAACTGGAGTCACACTAATCAAGTCATAGACCAGAACACACCCAGTAAAAATTCTAACTATCTTTGGTATTAAGAATAAGGAAAGGGAATATTTGTGAAGTCAAAATTGTTTTTCCCTGGCAGCCTTCAGCTGCCTCAATTGCCTGTGGTTCCCTTAAAAAATAAAGAGAAAAGGGATCCCTGGGTGGCGCAGTGGTTTAGCGCCTACCTTTGGCCCAGGGCGCGATCCTGGAGACCTGGGATCGAATCCCACGTCAGGCTGCCGGTGCATGGAGCCTGCTTCTCCCTCTGCCTGTGTCTCTGCCTCTCTCTCTCTCTCTGTGTGTGTGACTATCATAAATAAATGAAAATTAAAAAAAAAAAAAAGAAAATCTAGACTCCATTGATGAGAAAACAATCTCATAACTTCTACAAACTATGAAAAAATATAATCCAAAAATTTATCCTATTTTGCTAAATTTAGCGATAAAATAGAAAAGTAGTAATTTTAGTTTGTCTTTGTAATTTTAGTCTTTCAATCTTTAGTTTTTAAAACTCCCCTCTTTCCTTATTATTATTATTTTTAAAGATTTTATTTATTTGACAGCACCAAAGAGCACACACAAGCAGAGGGAGCAACAGAGGGGGAAGGAGAAGCAGGCTCCTTGCTGAGCAGGAAGCTGGCTGTAGGGCTCCATCTTAGGACCCTGGGATCATGACCCGAGCTGAAGGCAGCCGCTTAACCAACTGAGCTACCCAGATGATACTCTTTCCTTCTTTTTAAAGCAATTAGGCATTAATAATGAGAAATCTGAGCACCTGTGCATACCATCAGTGGCTATTCCTTGAGCTGGGCCAGCAGCCACCTCAGCTGTAGGTAACTGAATGTGTCTATTCCCTGTAACTATTTGAAAGAAAGTATTTATATCAAATAGTAGGCAATACTGTATGAAAGAGTCACTTGAAAATATTAGATAAAAATATAATATTGTTTCCCAGAAACGTGAGAAAAAATAGTTTGGTGATGAATGATGACACTGAATGAGAAAAAAAAAAAGACTTCAGCTATCATCTTTAATTTTCCTCTCACTCTTAAGAGGGTGTACCCACTCTCCAAGAGTGTCTGTGCATGCCAATATATTTTTAAGCTGCTTTGCTTTTTTATTAGAATGTTAGTGAATTTTAAAACTCCTTTGCCACCAAAGTTCAAAGTTATTTTTAGTACTACAGAACTATGTTAGGACATAGTTCCTGCATAAGGTCCTGAGGTTTTCTGGAGAATATAGCCGAAGACTGTTGTACATCAAAAGCAAGGTGGTACCAAAATTTAAATGTGCATTTTTAGGTTTTTCATTTTGCACTAACCTTTCAATTTTCTGCTATTTTCAAGTGACAAGTCATAATGCATGGTGAACTTATTTTAGGGATAGCCATGTGCAAGAGTCTAAATTAATGACTTTCAGAAAAAGTAAGTTACTTTCCTTCAAAGACATAAACTGTGTGGTAGGAACCAACAAAAGAAATTGATCAAGGATCATTTTGATAAGATATGGTTTGAATCTATAACCATGGTGGGGGGGAATCAAGAAAATATTGCAATCTAAAAGAGTGGAAGTCCAGAAAGACAATTAAATGATTAAGCAAATGGAGGTCAATTGGGAGGACAGTAAGAAAGTGTGCCATGTACCGTCCACCAGCACAACTAAAAGTTAAATCTTTAGTCTACTCAGTGGAAAAAATCTCAGAGTAAATACTATGATATTCCTGAAACTTGGTTATTACATCCTCAATTCAAATTTCACCTCTATTACTTCTGATTTATGTACCCTTGGGAAAATTGCTTCACCTCAGATGCTCAACCTATAAAATCAGGACTGGCCAATTCCAGAGCCTTTGCCCCTGACTCGTGCCCCACTTCTGTCCTCTTCATCATCACCTCACCTGTCCCCTTCCTCTTGGCCTAAACCATACTCCAGACTCTGCAGTCTTGCAAGCGTCACCCTGGACTCTGTGCCCTGGCTACTATCCTTCCTTTGTCCACCAAGGCCCTACAAGAAGAAGGTCTCAGGGTTCCGAAAAGTGATCCCCAAATCACATGCTCAGCCTATCTAGCTATAGACTAACGACCCACACCTAAAGTACTCAGCAAAACTCACCACCAAATGCTTAGTTGGGAAATAAACAGCTCCTGCTTCGGCCCCACCCTCTCTGATGTTTTTGAAGCACCTAGCACCACCAAGGACCTTCCATGGCTCCTTTTCCCCTTTCTTACCTTGACTTCTCGGCATGGATTCTTTCTTGTTTTTTTCCATGACTTTTCTTTCCTGGTGACATTCCCTCATTCCTTTTTCTTAAGGTCTTTATCCCCAAGTTTCCATCCTTGTGCCTAGGTTTTAACTTGCAGAGTCCATAGCATTTTTATGGATGATCTAACACTCCACACCCACATTTTTTTTTTTTTTTTTTTTACTTTTAACTTAGAGACAACTGAAGATTCACATGCACTTATAAGAAATAACACAGAGAGTTTGCAAATATCCTTCACTTCCTTGGTACTACCTTACACAGCATAGTACAGTACAGTATCACAATCAGGAAATTTTGACATTGATATGATTCATCAATATTCAGAGTTTACTAGTTTTATATACACTGTGTGTTTGGTTCTATGCCATCATTTCACATATACAGATGATATACCTACCTTTGGACTCACATTTCAAGGCCCAGAGATAGGCTCTTATAATTTCAGGAAGAAGGGTGGTTGAGGAAGACATATAGCAGTCCCTAATCCTGACAATATGCACATTCTAAAATGGTCCCTATGCCATTAGTAGAATGACCCTCAAACTGAGGCATGTAAATCCCCACCTCTCTCTTTACGATGCTCTCTTAGCCTGTAACCCTCGACTAGATCTTTTCAAAGTCTGCCCATCCTTCTATCGTCTGACTTAGGCCCTTCCCCAGGGGAAGCTCCTAGGTGCTACTGTTCCACAAACAGTACACCTACATTAATTCTGTCTCTCCAGTTGGATGTAAAATTCCTGAGATATAAAATGAGCTTTTTTTCTGTGGGTCTCATAGGTCTGAGACATATAAGTCCTAAATACAAAATTCAACTAAGATGAGAAAAGAGAGAGGAGGTGAAGAAACAGAAAAAGAAAAACTAGGAAGGCAGAATTTGCTATCACAAAGGAGTCTAGAAACCGGAAACAACTAGATTTTTAAAAATAATACAGCAAGTACGGACCAAAGGCTATAATCTTTCCTATTCTCACCCATGAGAATTAATATTCTGAAGAATCTTACCTTCTTCAACTGTGAGCAGGTTGCCCAAGTCTGCTGATGCATGATATTGGACTGGTTCTGAATTCTTCACATTCGCCAGTGGTAGGAAGGGGTCATAATCTGGGGATGACAGGTCGGCTAGGGTCAGTGTATAGTGACTCTGTTGGGTGTATGTGCTTGAGCCACAAACACAGCAGTGCAGAACCTGTGAAAAACAGAAGGGAATGTGTTCCAGGGATGCAACTAACCTGTTCCTTGACAATCTGCCAAACTACAACAGCATTTAGAAGGTAGGTAATACTTGATAGGCTTGGTAATACTTAAAAAAACATAGAATCCCTTCCATTCTAAAACATCTTGCTATCTGCAAATTTATTTTGCTCCTTCTACATCAATGCCAATAAATATATGCTCAAGACAAAAGGAAAGTGAAGGTTAAAAAGTGCTTATTCTGCCACCCTTCTGGGTGGTTGTACACACCTAAGTCCTGCTGTGGTCCATCAGAATATTCATAGAACTTCTTTTTATGGTCCCAAACTAACAATAGAATAGATATATAAATCATGGGTTTATTTTCACTGTGTAATACTAAATAGCAATGAGTGAAAAATCTACAGCTATTCACAATAGTATGAATGACTCCTTCAGAAATAATGTTGAGTGAAGGACGTCAGACACAGAAGTATACACTGTGTAATTCCAGCTATATGAAGTACAAAAACGATCTATACTGTTAGATTGGTGGTTACCCCAAGTATGTGAATGGAGATAGTGACTAGTAGGGAGGCATGATGGGGGCTTCTGGGATACCAAGAACATTCAGTTTCTGCAGCTGGGATCTGGTTTCACAGGTGTGTTCACTTTGTAAAAATTCATCAACCTCTCACTTATGATTGATGCTGTTTTCTGGATGCATATTATTCTTTAATACAAAGCTTCTTTTAAAAATACAATAATGGGGGATCCCTGGATGGCTCAGCGGTTTAGCGCCTGCTTTTGGCCTAGGCGTGATCCTGGAGACCCGGGATCGAGTCCCACATCGGGCTCCCTGCATGGAGCCTGCTTCTTCCCCTGCCTGTGTCTCTGCCTCTCTCTCTCTGTCTCTCATGAATAAAAATAAACAAACAAACAAATAAAAATAAAATAATGTTATTCAATAAATTTGTGAATTGTGTTAACTAGGAGGTAACTTTTTTATTGGTAAAACAATTTTAAAAGAAATCTATTAAGAAAAGAAATACTAGAAAAGAGATAAATTTAAGTGACTGTGGCTACTTTACTTGGCTGAGCCAGGGCTCACATAGGTTTATAAGCCACAAAGATGACAGGAGTATCTAATTAATCCTAACAGAGTTATTAAAATTTTGATCACTAAAGAAACCATTTAAAAATACATTAATACTTTATAGTTGATTTTCAACCATATTATCTTTTCTTGTATTTAACACATTTTAAAATAAGGCAACACAGTAATAAATTAATGAGTTGCAATATTTTTTAAAGGTTATTATTAGTAAAGGTGTGTTACTAAAAAAAATAAATAAGACTGTCTCTAGTAATTATTCAATGGATACACAGTGCTAAATTCATAAGTATGGCTTTCACAGGAGGGACTATAAAGCCAATATGGAAGGATAATACAACGGGTCCAGAGCAAATATCACACCTAGGCATCAGTAGGAGGTGATATTCTAATATTTTAAATACTATAAAAATGATGACACTAATATTGTAATGTGATATATTTCCTTAATTTATTTCTTAAGATCTTTTGAAGCAAAGAGATTACTGAGACCTTTATACTTTTTTCTTCCTTTGATGAACAGATTTTGTCAAACTAAGGCTTATAAATAGTCCTATAATATAAACAGTTCTTTTTAAAATTAAGTACAGATAGACCATATCACATGAAAACTGAGGGGGGTGGTGATGGTCAAACTACAGTTGTTTAAAGATGGCAGTCATGTGAAATTGTAGGCTTTTATTTGGTAACCATTGTATCTCTACAATAATACCTGCTCTGTTTTCACTCCTTATTCATTTCTTTTAAAATGATTGAGCCCCCATATATGCTTTTCAAAAGGGTATAGTTAAATAAACATGTAGAACATATTTTGGCAATTCTGTGATGCTTAAGTCTATACTCTATGTCCTTGAAGCTCAAATGGAGACTCACCCTATAGATATAATCCAGCAAAGGAGCTCTGGATGCATGCTGCTCCTCCAGGGCCACCGTGGACACTGGGTGGAGAAGGGTGTTCACTGGCAATGCCATGCACCAATCCAAAAGGCAGAGTAGCAAGGACACAATAAACTGGAAGAGGAAACAGGCCCAGTACTGCACATTGCAGAATTTCAAACTTCACTACATGTAATAGCAAACAACAGAACTGTCTCTGCACAATAATAATTATTTGGTAGGTACAAAAATGCAAAAGAAATAAATGAATAAATATAATTTTCACAGGGAAGACCATTAGGACCAATACAGAAGAATATCATAAAGGATATCTCTACGTATGACATTATTTATCATTTTGCCTTATGTTAAAAAACAAAACAAACTCTGGAAAAAACTTAGCAGATGTGCCACCTACCTTCTTATCTGTTTCCACTGAGGAGTACTCTGCACTTGGTAAAAGAAAAGCAATCGTGGCCACAAGGATCTGTATAAAAGATAAATCAATCCATAATGAAATAGAGCATAGCAATAGTTTGGGAAACCATATGATAAGAGTCCCAAGATAGCCGTGCACTAAACCCAGCTTAGTGTCAACTCACTAGGGGAAGGTGATAAAAAGCTGAGTTGCCTGTGATCCTGAAAATCGGAAAAAGTGATAGAGCCATGCCTAGTCTCCATTCCACTCTGCTGGTGCTGAAACTGGGAGCCCCTGATGAAGGGACATTTCTCTCTGTGTGGTCACTCAATTCCCTTCATCATCCACACTTTATACTATGAAAGTAAAAAATATTTTCAAAAAGAACGGAAAATGTTTCCATTTGATTTTCTTATAAACCATCCAGGTCTCCATCTGTTGTCCTGGTATAAAAGCACCTCTTGTATTCTCAAAGGCATTCCTCTTTCGATGATAAACTGTAAGTGATCTTTGAACAATTTGGGGATTAGGGGTGCTGACCTCCCTGAACCTGCACAGTAAAAAAAAATAAAAAAAATCCATGTATAACTTTTGACTCCTGCCAAATTTAACTACTAATAGCCTACTAGTGGCTGGAAGCCTTGTCAGTAACATAAACAGTGGATCAACACATATTTTGTATATGTATTTTATGCTGTGTTTTTATAATAAAGCAAGCTAGAGAAACAAAAATGTCAAGAAAATCATAAAATATATTTATAGTCCTCTACTATATTTATCCAAAACAACCCACATATAAATGGACTTCTGCAATTCAAACCTGTGTTGTTCAAGGGCCAAATAAACACAGTTGCCCTACAATACAACTTTACAACTTGCAGCATCACATATTCCTGTGTCCAGGGCTCTGCTCCACTCTAGGTCACCTAAGGTCTCTGAGAGAACAAAGTGATCTCACTGGTGAAGTCTGTCTAGGCCTGAGAGAAAATAAATCAGAATCACTTATTCTCTCCCTGTAACAGCACACAGAGACAAATCAAATTTCCTTGACGAGTTACCACTGGATGTATGAAGAACAGGACATGCTTTAAAAAGTGTAGCTTTAAAAACTGACAGGAATGGATGGGCCTTATATGCAGGCACCTACAGAGGTGAGGAGGGTACATGCCTGTGCACAACAAGCATCCTCAGAGGTAACCGACCTCCAGGATATTATCACTGGGACGATTCTTCCCGCTCCTTCTGTCCCTGTCTCCTACCAATTACCACCCCCAGAGGGTATTCCAGTAGTAATCTCATTCCAGCTGGGTAGTCACGCAATGGCAAAAAGCGTGATCTGGGGCTTCAGTCTGGGAGAGACTCCTGTTTCCTACAAAAGGTCCCCCCCGCCCCCCGCCCTGCTCAGAGGGCATCATAACCAGCTGCCTTCTCCTTGTTAGCACCATCCAAATTACTCTAAATGAATGAAGCTCAATCTACAAAAGGTCTCTTTGTTGTGGTCATGTCTGCCTTTCAAACTTCCCAAGTGTAGACTGTACCCTGGAACACTGGTGGCTTCTTTACGTAGTGCCTGAAATCACAGCTGAGAAGAGCCAGTGCGATTTAGTCTTAAAATGAATGACTCATATAGCAACATAACAGACGGTTCTTGAACAATCATTTGAGTATCTGTAATTAAATACAGAATACTGAATATAAGAGGGAAATGCTTATGTTTTAGCATTACAGGAAAAGACTTACTTCAGCAATTTTCCGAGGCAGAGAGGTTTCAAACATCAGAAGCTTTTCCCAGTAGGAAACCAGCAACTGAAGAACATCACAGGCCACCTGAGCCACGATTTTGTTAGAAAACTATAAAAGGAAACAAAACCCCCAACTAAAGGACTGAACTTAACAAGTATTCTTGTCCTAGGAAGAAAAGAATAGGTATTTCTTTCCAGCAATGTTTAGGGATACATTTCCTTGTTTGGTATTAATTGTTTGAAAAATGTGTCCTGGTACCAGGTAGTTTGTGGATGATCACCATCCTGTAACTGTCTCTTGTCCAGTCAGACTAGTTGTATTAACATTCTAGAGAAACAAGTAGCTGTCATTCAGTTATATGAAAATTAAAACAGTGATTTCAAATGCCTCATGCAGATCACATAAATCATAATTTTGACAATTAGAGGAAATTAAAATGTAGTACATTACTAAGTATTCCCTATGCGCTGGACCTTTACAAAAATTTTCCTCATTTTCGCATTGATAAATCTTCATTAACAGCTCTGCCAGGTAGATGTGATCTACATTTTACACTTGGATAAATGGGGACTAATCAAGTGACCTTCTATATTATAAAATTAAACTGAACCCACATGTGTAATGTACTAAGAAATGTGAAATTTTGGGGACTATGAGAACATAATTCATACGTTATGGTGTATTCAATTACTTTGAATATATTTTCAGAGTCTGGTGTGTGTCCAAGGTCACACTGGATGCTCCCATTTCTTGTTAGATGGCATGTTAATGAGGAGGGATGGTACCTACCAGGTCCACTGGCTGGGGTGGATGAAATAGTTGAAGACACCCTGTGCCTCTCTCCCTGGCCAGAGCCTGGGGCTACACTGCTATCCAAACCTCATTATCTAGAGAAGAAAGGCTTGTCACTGATTTTGGGTCCCTGTTTAGGGAAACCTCTTGATATGAATCTTAGTTATTTCCATACCAGGAGCTCCAAGTCACATGAAATAGATACCAATTGACCTCAGCACCACAGAGACACAGAAAAGTCAACATTTAGCATCTCAATGTAAACGCACAGAACAAGAAAGAAGGTGAGGCAAAGGGGATTAATTTGAATTCTATAGAATAAACACTTCCTAACTGTCCCTTCCTGATAGGTGCAAAGTACACCGGAGGCATGAATATCTGTGCTCAAGGCATCTTCAGAGGGAGCCTATAGGCTTCAGATGACCTTATGCTCAATGGCTCCTTTCAATCCCTCATCTGTACTTCCTCCCTTTTACCTGGGACATTCATTCCCCAGGTCTGCATGTAGCTGACACTGCCACATCTTTCAGACCATGGCACTAAAATGTCTCCTCAATGAGGCCCCCATGCCCATCCAGAGGAGTGGCAGCCCACCTGCGCCAGCTCTTCAGCTTCATCCTTTTTCCCTCTTATAGTTTCCTTATGGCATTAACAGCTATCAAGCTGATCTTTTGTACTTGTCTGCCTATTCTTTCGTGTTTAATTTTTCCACATCTTGTTCACCATTATATTTCTAATGCGTTGCATAGCCCTCTGAGGAGTGACACATGGTGAGTTTGAGGTGAAGATGGAACTGAAGGAGTTAAGAACACAAGTAGGTACTGGAGGTGTTTCTGCTGCATCACAGTGGTCAAGTCATGAGGTGGAGCCAGAAGGCTAGCATGGCTCTTAAATCTAGAAGCTAGAAGCACACAAGAGGACTAGGAGAAAATGAGAGGTATGATAGAGCAGACAACAAGCCTCTAGGGAGAGAGGGGTGAAGTGTGAGGGTGTGGCAGACAGCAGAAAGGCCACATTGTGGTGGGAGGGAGAGTTGAGCTTAGCCTGGAAGAATGCAGAAGACAGTGTCTCTTTCCAGGCAGCAGGCAGCAGGGCACTGTGGCAGGCAAGGCTGGGCTGGAGGGATGCAAGTGTGGTGGGATTAATCACACCTGAATGCTGTGGGGGATGCGGGGGGAATAAATCACTCATGTACTCACTCAGCACATACTCATGGAGTAATGACCACATGTCAGCACTGATGGTGACAGATGGTAGCTATACTTGTGGTAGGGATGGCAGAAGGTATAGGTTGTTTCATCACTGTTGCACACCTGAAACTAACATCACACTGTGTGTCAGCTATACTCAAAAAAAATGTAATCAACCTCATCCTCTCAAAAAACAAACAAACATACAAACAAACAAACAAACATACAGGGGAAAAAATTCTGGGAAATGTCCGGATTTGGCTAAATTGACAAGTACCAAGGCACCAGCCACCATACTGCCCTGACACTGCACTGGACTCCAATACACCAACATCTCGATCTTTGAATATATACCAACTCATTTCTACCTCAGGGCCTTTGTACTTGGCGCTCCTTCTGCCTGGAGTGCCCCTTCCCCAGACACTGCCTAGCTCCTTCTCATTATTAATTTCTCCACTCATATACCACTTAGAAGAGTGGGATTGCTCCTGGATGCTCTCTATAGTGTACCTATGTAGTTGCTTGGCCAGTGTCAATTCCCCTCTCTCTCCTTAACTAATAGTAGATTTTTTTTTTCTAGGTGCCTTCCCTCTCCTGTGCAAGTCCTCTCTCCCAGCTCCAGGAATGTGCCTGAACTGGCTGAAAGCAATCAGAAGATTTTATTCCCAGCCTAAGTCTTTGGTACATGGATGAGCAAGAAGCCGTGGCTAATGTGTCTCAGTACCCTTTACTAGAACGCTGTGATGGAAGTCCTGCTGAACATAAGCAAGGACACAGAGGACCCTGACTCCTACTGGCATACATCCTCCAACCCTGCAGACATCCCACCCTAAGATGAAGGCACTGTGGACTATGGAGCAGAAGAGCCAATTAGATCAGTGTTGACACTATTAATCTCCTGGATCAACCAACCTCAAATTCTTCCATACCCATGTATTTTCCAGCTATATGAACTAATACATTCCCATGTTGTGTAAGCCAAAAAAAAAAAAAGGAAAAAAGGCCAAAAAAAAAAAAAAAACCAAACAAACCCCAAAACAACAGCAAACAACAACCACAGGGCACAAGATGAACAGGGCAGACACAGTCCCTACTCTGAAAGACTGACAGTCCTGGGAACAGACAGGGACCTGTTGGTGTTATGTCCCTGAATGCCATGCTCTACTCTGTGGTGACTTGGTCAGGCCTCGTGCAGATAGATTCCTCTGGTGGCAGTAAGAAGGACAGATCTGTGGAGACCAGACTAGGACCATGGGGTTGCAGAGTACCAGGAAGCTCAGTTAGTGGCAGAGGGAGTCAGCCCCAGTGAGGGATGGCCCTAGGGCAGCAGAACTCTATGGCTAAAGATGGTGGTGGGGTGAGGAAGGGGAGACTGTCCATGATGTCTCCTAAGATGGGGTAAGAGAAGGAGCAGCAGGTGTGGCTGAGGGTGGGGGCTCAGGCTGGGCTGCCTGGGAGGCAGGGTTGGCAGCTCACCTGAGCCAGAGCTGAAGCTGGCACTCTAATGCCTTTGGCCCACATACTGGATGGGACACCTAAGTCTGTAACTACAGTTCAGGCTTAGAATACTCCCCTGCTCCCCTGTCACCCCTGTTGCCTCACCAGACACAACTAGCTGGGTGGAATTCTCCAGGTGCCTGTGTAGTGCACTGCTCTCATTTGTTGCTGAGGCTGTAGGCTGGTTTTCATTCATACCCTCTAGGGAGCATTTCAGCCTTCTATGACCATGTCCTTCCCACATCCGAGGGAACACTCAGGTCAATCTTGACAAGTGTTCCTGAAGGCAGGGTCACAGCAGAGTGGTGCCCAGAGCCATGTGAAATCCACAAGGCAGGAAGCCCTTCCAGGGCTCAGGCTCCCTGTGCTGCTGGGGTTGGGTATCCTCCTAGCTGAGCCTCGAGGCCCCTCTCCTTAGAATTGTTCTTAGTGGCCATGCCTTCCCTGCTAGGTCACTTCTTACCTCCTTCGGTAACAGTACCAACTGGCACAGGAACACAGGCCTCAGAGAGAGGCAGGCAGGGAGCTGCCCCATCCATGAGTTTCCCTCTGCTATTCCTAATGGGGAAAAGGAGTCTGATTTGGCTCATCTTAGCTCTCTGATTTCTTAGCAATTCAAGCTGGAGTGATTTCATCGACCTTCTTTGTTTCCAACATGGGGCAAGCAAGAGTATCTACAGGGGTGCAGGCTTCAATGGGGCAGTCCTGCCCTGTGCTGGGAGGCCCCCATGGACTATGGGCTCCAGGCATTCTTCTGGTGCCTTATGGTTTTCCTTACATTTAGAGAAAAACTAAAGACATGTTTGAAAATGTGGAGAACTATAATGAGAAAAATGTAAGCCCTCATATCCTTCTACTCTTGTTATCAATTTCCATCTCCTTTCTATACTACACAGTGCCATACAGTACCAACTACAGGTAGAAGGATAGCTATAGAGACATATCTACATATCTCCTTCATTCTTAGACACCACTGAATTCTTAACAATTTTTCCAGGAAAGGGGTAGAGGTGGGAAAGACACACCACGTTCAATATATATTAATAGATTTAAGAAAAAACTAAGACTTGAAAAATAGATCTTAGAATTGAGAAAATAGGATATTAAAAAAATTACACTCTGCATAGATATATAATTGATATCCAGCTTTTTTTTCCCCCACTTTAATAGTTATATATGACTATCTTCCTATGGCTTTTGCAATTGTGCAAAAGGCCAGACAAGGAGCCAGGGTGTCTTGGGTTTGACTCTGGCCAACTCTTTACATCCCCATCAGCTTATTTTCCACATCTGTGAAGCGAAGATGGCAATAACCCTTCATTTCATATGGTAGTTTTAAGGAATAAAAGCAACAATAAAGGTCAGTGCCCTGCTCCTAAGTGATATATTGATTCAATCAATTTGCTCTTCCTCGCCACAGGGATCAGCAGCAAGTGCTTTTCTAACTTTCATGATATAACTGGCACCCCCGGGTGTTGTGGAGGACAGAACGACAGGACAGGGCAACAGAGGCAGGCGGTCAGAGGGCATCAAGCTTGATGAGGAAGGGGAGTGGGTGAGGAAGGTTGCCGTGAAATCAGGCTGCAAAGGCAGGCAGAGGTGCGACCAGAGGGCTGGATGCCAAGCCATGGGCTGCGGATGGCCCTGACTGCTTATCCTGTGGGCTGAAGCACAAAGAGTGGCACAGGGGCTTGTCAATAGCCTGGTGAGGACTGTCCTGGGGTCAGCAGCACATGACAGGCAGCAGAGAGGTGCGGGTCTGAGCCTGGATGCCGGTATCGAGTAAACAGTTCGAAGTTTGAACTTTGGTTCAGCCAGACTCTAGAGCCTGGAATGAGAGGGTCCTTAGCTCTCCTGCACTTCAGTTCCTCTACTGTAAAATGGGACAATTGCTTCACACCTAAGAACTTCCACAAACCCCCAGGACAGTGCCTAGCAGGGATTAGGGGATATAATGACAGCACTGCTAATTATTAGCACCATTTCTAAGCAGGAGCCAGAAAAGGACCTGGCAGGATTTGAGCTCTGATCTAGAAGTGGCAGTATGTATAAAGGTTTTGTTTCTCATGTTACACGGATCTGTTCTTGGTGCAGGTTCTATTACTTATACCTGCATGGTGGTGGGCTCATGGCCTGATTTCTCTGGGCCTTGCTTTCCTCTGATGTGACATAGGAACTGTACCATCTACCTTGCAGAGCTGCTGTTGTGAAGATTATAGAGACTTTATCATGAATCTGGCCCAGCATGACTGTCCAGTGAATGGCAGCTCTTCTTTTCATTAAGAAAGCAAAGGAAGAAAGCCATCCTAAAAGTGCCAAGGTCCAGTCAGATAGTGAGCATTTAGGGCTGTTAACTAGGAGCTATCAGGTCTCTCCTGGTCCTACTGAGGAGGCCAGGGCATGAAATCCCACTTTCTTGTCACTATTATCAGCAGATGACAGTTGTGTTGCTTGCCACAGAAAGTGCCCAGCTATCAGAGGAACCGCATATGGCTGTAGGGCGCTTGGTCCAGAAATGCTCAGGCTATGGTAGGCCAAGATGCAGCCACCAATGGGGAAGCAGCTGTTGGTGGCCTCCCTTGGGAGCCTGACAGAATGTTCAACATGGCTCTCAGAAAAACAATTTTTGATTAAAAATCGCTCATGTAGGGGAAAATAACGATGGGGCTAATTCAAACTAGAATGGGTTGAATATCTGGGATACAGCTTAATGTCAAATACATATCACAAATCGGTAATACCTTCAAAGTGACACCTATCACGTTGATAGCCTCTTTCAGCTGAGGATGGCTTGTACACTGTGCAAGTTCTTCGCATATCCAGACTCCGAGGGAGCAAATGGCAATGCATCTTTAGAAAAAGAAGTAAAAGGAAGGAAACTCAAAAAATTTAATATATTTTCTTGGTATTTTCTAGTGACAAAGTATTTTAAATCTTTTTTACAAAATGGCCAAAATTACAGACATGTTAACAGAGCGTCTTCCTGAGGAAAAAGATAAGAAGCCCTCAATAGTCCAGTTTTCAGGACACATAGAAATATTGATATTGGTTAGTAATTAATATTGGTTAGTAATTAAATATTTAATGAAATAAATGATCTATTTCCTGTTAGTAGTCACAGAGCACATATCAATTATTTTTGTTGACATTTTTAACTACATTGTATTGCTTCAAGATAGTTTTGAGGAAGAATCAAAAACATGAATCTTAGAAAATGATTGGAAACCGAGTTTTTAATTGTTTTCCTTACAGTAAAATACACATCTACTACATATTTCATTATAAAGAATACCTGAATACAACTGTCAGAATCAGCTGCCCTGCTACTGCTTTTAAGCAATATGTTAAGACAAAGCCTTCTTCAAGTTGCACAGTCCTTTAAAAATTACCTTTTTCAGTTATAAATCAATTTTAAGTGGTAATTCTCTGTGAAATTGATATATTCTACTACCTTTCTCAATGATCAAAAAGTCATATTCCTGTTAATTTTTTCTGAATGCCCACATATAAAATTAAAATACTTGCTCCCAAACCTGTTCACTTTCAGAACAAAAGAGGGTTTTCAAGCCTATCCTCAGAACCAGATGTTATCCATAATATGTATATGTTGTTCTTTGTACGAAGAGGTCATATCCAGAGCTAATAAGCTAATAAACTGAACGTACTGCTCCGCTCTCCACAATGAAAGTTCTTTGCATTCAATATAATTCAGCAATTAAAACTAATATATTTTGAGGCTTTAAAACCACCATGTTTCACTGGATTCTTGCCTCTTTAAATTAGGATAGGTTAAGTGCTTCACAACAGGTTTATTAAAAGCACTTGGGGAAACTATGCCACCTACCAAAGTGCACTCAGGGTAAGTATGTGGCCCAGTTTACAAGTGTACGTGGTCTTTTTTGATTCTCTGACATCAGTATGATACAGGAGCTCCACACGGTTCAAACCCTCAACTGAGCAGTCACCTCTTGCCTGATTCCAACACTTATTCTCAGTCTACAAAAGCACTTTATATTCTTAGTTTGTACCTGTTTGTCACATGTTCTGTATGACACAGAACAGCCTCTTTATTTTCCCCCAGCTTAACTCAGACTCTGATTTTCAACCCACTAAAATCTATCCAACATGGAATTAAACGCTAAATCATATTTTTACCACTTTAAGAGCCCCTCTTCTTTTGCAGGCTTGCATGTATGTGTGTATATAAATACACATTTTTTTTACAACCCATTAACCTATCTGTTAAATATAATTCATTAAGAGCAAAGATCTCTCATTTCTTAGGAACATCTCCATTACCCCATAACTATTAGCTTTGCATACTGGAGAACATTTTTGATCCATAAAATGGTTTCATAATGTGAACTACTCTCATCTGCCTTGAGTTTTGCAGCCACACTAGTTTATAAGCAGCTCTTCAATGCCATTTTCTCTTTGAAATTTATCATTTACATTCCCCATTTAGCATCTTAACTATTCTAACACTCTCAGTTATTCATTATGCCTTTCAGTTTCTTTCAGAGTTAAGTTCTCTGTATTCCAAATATGTCTTTTGTGATCCCAAAAGAGTTCTATTTCTCAAGACTTTTCTTTTAAGCTAATGACAGTACCACCTTCACTCTCCTTTATATGCAACACACTCTCTGGAGACCATTTGCTACTTTGCCATCTCACACCACTCTGGTTTATGTAACAGAAACTTAGTATTTTTTTCTTAACTTTTCTACATTATTATCACTCATGACTAACTATCTTCTCTTGTAATTAGCCTCCATTTATTTGAAATCTTGATCATATTTCTCCTTACATCCACTTGAATGATCTAAATTTCACTAACTCCATGTTTCATACACAGCTAATTAAGACTGAGCATATCATACACATTTCTTTTTTTTTTTTTTAAGATCTTATTTATTTATTCATGGGAGACACAGAGAGAAAGAGACATAGGCAGAGGGAGAAGAAGGCTCCCTGTGGGGAGCCTCATGAAGGACTCTATCCCAGGACTCTGGGACCTTGCCCTGAGCCAAAGGTAGATGCTCAATCACTGAGCCACTCAGGTGTCCCATCATACACATTTCTATTCCATTTTTCACTACAGAGAAATTTGGCTTCCTACAGTAAAGAAAAAATGGGAGAAAGGTACTGCCAAGACATGTTAAAGGTCTGAATGTCATAGGTAAATGAAAAGGACAATTGAAGGATTTTTCCCAAGTTTCTGGATTGAAAATCTGGGTAGATGATGGTGCCCTTTACTGAGATGGAGTTGGAGGGACAGCCAGGAGACTAAATGGTTCAGTAGTGGTTGTGTTAATTTCGCATGTGTTAAGACATCCAAGTTGAGATGTCAAGTAGATAGCTTATTACATAAGCCTGAATATATATAATGGTTCACAGAAGAGGCCAGTCAAATAAATTCAGTATCATCAGTATTGACAATTCAATGGTATTTAAAGCCTGGTTACAATGAATAAGAGAATCTAGGAGAGTCATAGAGGGGAGAAGAGGACCAGCCCTAAATCTCAAGTCACTCTAACATTCAGACATTAGGTGGAGGAGGGAGACAGAACAGGAGCAGCTGCAGTGATAGAGGAATAAAATCAGAAGAATATATTCTAAGTAAATTGCATTGTTCAGGAAGAGAGGAAAGACAGACTAATTCCAGAATTAGGAAGACAAGTATGCATATTAAAATTCCTAAGGTAATGTCTAAAAAAACGGAGTCTATGATTTCTACAAAAAGAGAGACAATAAATGGAATGTGGGGGGAAATCATCTGAAAGAAACGAAGGAAGAAAAGGAGAGGGGGAAAAATGAAGGCAAGAAAAGGGACAAAATGAGAGAATACTGAGAAGGACCAATAACAAAGTATGAAGGCAGATGAAAGAAACACATCCAAATGTGTCAGTAATTGCAGTAAATGTAAATGGACTAAAGATTCAGTTAAAAGATCAAGATCAGACATGATAAATATATAAAATAAAGAATTGCAATTTTTGCTAAGGCATTCTTTTTATTTTTAAGGATTTTTACTTATTTATTCATGAGAGACACACAGAGAGAGGCAGAGACATAGGCAGAGGGAGCCCCAATGTGGAGCTTGATCCCAGGACCCCAAGATCATGACCTGAGCCAAAGGCAGATGCTCAACCACTGAGCCACCCAGGGACCCCTTTGCAAAGGCATTTAAAGAAAAGAATATAGAAAGGTTAAATTTAAAAGGATAGAAAATATTATTTTAAAATATCTGAATCGATATGAGACAAGTGGTCTTTAAGAGAAAAAAAATCATACTTAGAAGTAAACAGGGTCAGTACATAAATTAAAAGAGATGATTCTCTATAGAGATTTGATAATTCTATACTTCTATGCAGCTATTAATATAGCTTCAAAATATGTAAAACAAAGACTGACAGATATACAAGGTAAACAGATGCACCATAATAGTGGGAGACTTTAATACATCTTCCACAGTAAATGATTAAGATGGTGAAAAAAAATTAGAAAGGATGTAAAATATTTGAAACACACGATTAAAATATTAATTGAATGCACATTATCTAGAGCAGTACACCCAACAACTGAAGCAATGGTATATACGTTTTTTTAAAGACTTTTATTTATTTATTCATGAGACACACACACACACACAGAGAGAGAGAGAGAGAGAGAGAGAGAGAGAGAGAGAGAGAGGCAGAGACACAGGCAGAGGGAGAAACAGGCTCCACTGAAGGGAGCCCAACACGGAACTCGATCCCAGGTCTCCAGGATCACACCCTGGGCTGAAGGCAGCGCTAAACCACTGAGCCACCGGGGCTACCCTATACGTTTTTCAAGCCTACACAGGGCATTTGCAAAACGTGACTATATATTGGACCATGGAGCAAATCTCAATAATTTCAAAGACTGTCATTTGGCAGATAACATATTTGATCTGTGATGCCTTTAAGACATCAGTAACAAAAATATAAGTAAAAATAACTATATACTTAGGAATTAATATATTTCTAAATAAATCATGACTCAGTGAAGGAATCATAATGGAAACTGAAAGAAATCTGTAGTGGAAAAATATTACATATCAAAACATACAGAACTCAGACAACAGAGCACCTAGAAATAAACAAATTTAAATGCTGACATTTGTAATGAAGAAAGGTTGAGTTAATATGCTGAATTAGGATACTATTATATTAAGATATCAGAATTAATATACTGATAAAAAAGAGAAGAAATGACAGAATGTAATGACAGTAGAAGGAAGAAAGAAAAAAGAGCAGAAAGTAGAGAATAAAAACAAATTAGAATAAAGAGGCTGAACAAAAACAAAAGTATGTTCTTTAAAAAGACTAACAAAAGTGACAAATCTTTAGCAAGACTCTTGAGAAAAATCAGAGAATATACAATAAGGTCAGGGATTAAGAAGTGTATATAGCTACAAGATGAAAGAGACACTAGACAGCAAGAGGGTAATGGAGGCATCATGTATACCAGCATATTTCAAAACTTGGAATGGAATGGACAGAGTTCTAGACTAGTTTATCTAAGCTGTAAAAAAAAAAAAAAAAAAAAAAAAAAAAAAAAAAAAACCTTAATATTCCTAAAATCATGGAAGAAAGTAAGTCAATGGTTAACCTTCTCATAAATAAATGACCAGGCCCAAATAGTTTTACCATCAAGGTCTAAATACACAGGAGTACAAACTCTAATTTTACAACAATTCTTGCTAACTACAGAGAATGAAACAATACTTCACTCATTCTGTGAGAATATCTAACTCTGGAATCAAGCCTGACAAGGACAGGATGGGGAAGGAAAATTACAGGCCATAAACATAAATGCAACTTTCCTGAACAGAATGTTAGTCAAGTCAGATCTGGTACTGTATAATGCAATTAGATTTTATTCCAAAATTCAAGAGTTTATTATCAAAATTCAAGGTACCCTAATATGAACAAATTGATAATGAATTTATAGCTGCTGGTAACAGGAAACTAGAAAATATAGACTAAGTTATCCACCAAAGACCACTGAAGAAATTAGTCAAAACACAAAACAAAACAAAAAACAAAGAACAAGCAAACCACTCCCCACCCCACCCCAATCCAGAAAGCTTTAAAATCATCAAAAGAGCTAACAAAGCAATGATGGTTGGTAGGCTGCTAGAGAGAGAGCAGGGCAGGAGCTGAGTCCTTGGAGGCAGCAGTAGGCTAAGCTGGGCTTCTGGCAACCTTGAGGTTAGAGGCAGAGGATGAGAAACTGATGTTCCCCTCCACTGCTTTAGCCTACTGCTCCCAGCTTTGGGCTAAAAGGGCGGTTGCAACTATTTATTATGTAGGTGGCCCAGAAAACCTCTATATTGGTAACAGACTGCTAGCAACCTCAGACACCTGGCAGAAGCAACCAAAATATTTCCAGGCATTGCTAAATGTCTCCCTGGGTACAAAATCACCTCTGGTTGAGAATTACTACCCTATATATTATACCATTTTTATAAGTTTTCGGTTTATCCTTCCATTTTCTTCTTCATTAAAAAATAACCGAGGATACATGTATATATTTGTAATCTTATTTTTTTTTATTTTTTTTTTGTAATCTTATTTTTTAATTCTACAAAATGTAGCATGCTATGATCTTCTGCACCTTACTGTTTTCACTTAATAAAGGCACACTTTAAAGAAATTAAATAAAGCATTTTCTTGACATAATTCTTACTATACCTTTTATGTGTGTATGAGTAATGTGGAAGTGTTTTTTTTAAACATTAACTGTTTACACATAAATTTGTATGTATCTTAAAATCCTAAAATAGTTTACCTTTTAGTCAACATTTACCTTGCACATTCATTTGGTTCCTCTGTGGCATTCTTCAGTAAAATATTTATGAGGTAATGCTAAAAACACAAAATTAAGTTAAATAAAAACTTTGTTTAGTAGTTGGTTTCCCACATGTTCTGACTGTGTTCCAGGCAGTCAGGAGTTACTGATGGACCAGGATGCTCTGGAAAGGCTCCCATCAAGGAGAACCTGAGAGGAAGGAAACACAGGGCTCAGGGGAGCAGCCTGGTGATGGTCTTAGCCAGGGCCTCCTGGGCAAGTAAACCAGCCTGGAGAAGAGGGCTTCTCGCCATGCAATAAAAACCTAGCAAAGCAATTGAGACTTCAGATAGGAAAAGCTCAGTTTTCTTTTACTTCAATTAGATTATATATTGTATGCTAAATTATATATTATAATTATGTACCATAAGTAGATAGATAGATTGATTCTGAGATTTGAAAAGCATTTTTGTTTTCCCCAAAGTCAGTTAAAGAGAGAACAAATACTTTACTTTTATTCTCTACGGAATTAATAACTTGACATTTCAAACTATTAGTAGTATTTAATCAGGCTAACAATGGGACTGAATATTTGGCTTACTTCAATTATTTCTTATAAACTCATTTGATGCACTAATGCAGCACAATTAGACCTAAATTTATTACAAACGATGATTCATTACAAATTACAATCCATAGGCATGATAAGCAGATCTAATAAAATACACCCAAGGAACATATCAGTTCTAACTGCAATATGCTCTTAATCTAATACATTTAATCCCCCTAAAACAGCCTTCTGGAAAACAACAACAATAACTACTGAAAGATTTAAACAATAAAGCAGAATTTTCAGAGATAAGTAGATCAATGTATGATAATGGAAGAGATAACCACAGAGCTAGAATTGTAAAATACTAAACTTGAGATTCATTCAAATGCATGAGGTACCTTGACATCTTCAGTTCCTCTGATAACTTCCTTGACTTCCGGCACAGACTGTAGTAAAGGGATGTCCCGGTAGGTATTTGGAAAGCAGACAAGAGAACCGAGAATGGTGAGAGCTTCTGAATGAGGTGTCTGCACACACACGGATACACATACAAAAAAAAGGGAAAACACCCATTTTTTTCTTTTTCTAAGTCATAAACTTTACATAAGCAACATGCTTTGTTTGATGATTTTGGGAGAAAATCTTTACAATTATTTTATCCTAGATAAGAGGTATCACACTATGCCGGGTTATTTTCCTCCAGGTGAATATTTAAGTAAGAGAGGTTTGCCTAAATGAAAAGCAAAGTTCCAAGGAATGGAAAATATCACTATACTCATATAAAACGCATTGTGAAAACTGGTCTGCAGATACATTCAGAGTCAGAAGAGCAAATGACTCAATCATGATTTTTACCTTTTATTTTTATTTATTTTTTAGTCAATGTTCTTGACAAAGCAAGGTAAGTGATATCAACTTAATATTATTAAGACAGTTAACAAAAATTCATAAGGAAGAGGGGTTGAGCTGAATTTCAGAAAGCAGAGAAAGAGAGCAGACACCACCTACCAAATTTCCTGTCTCATCAAGAACTACTTTGCAAAATAACATATAGTGTCTGATATCTAGTGCGATACAAAATTACTTGTTTGTTCATTATTGGAATTAGGTATATATTAAAGGAGACACTTTTTTCTAGATTTCAATCCAGCTAACACTTACTGGCAGCTATGATTAGCCAAGAATGGGGCAGGCACCAGGATAACAAAGGTATGCCATTCGTCCACCTACCCATCTGTCCATCTACCTTCTGTCTCTCTACTATTATCTGATAATTGTAACAGTAGCAGCTAACACTTATAGTGGTAGGCACTGTTCTAAATGCTTTATAAGCGCTCTTAGAATACCCTCAACAGGGACGCCTGGGTGGCTCAGTGGTTAAGCGCCAACCTTCAGCCCAGGGTGTGATCCTGGAGTCCCAGGATCCAGTGCCACATCGGGCTACCTGCATGGAGCCTCCCTCTTTCTCTGCCTGTGTCTCTTCCTCTCTCTCTGTGTCCCTCATGAATAAATAAATAAAATCTTAAAAAAAAAAAAAAAAAGAGGGCAGCCCCGGTGGTGCAGGGGTTTAGTGCCGCCTGCAGCCCAGGGCGTGATCCTGGACACCCTGGATCGAGTCCCGCATGGAGCTCTCTGCGTGGAGCCTGCTTCTCCCTCTGTGTGTGTCTCTGCCTCTCTCTCTCTCTCTCTCTCTCTGTGTGTGTGTCTCTATGAATAAATAAATAAAATCTTAAAAAAAAAAAGAATACCCTCAACAATCCAATGAAATAGATACTATTATCATTTCCACATTACAAGTGTGAAAACTGAGGCTCCAAGAAATTAAATGGCTTTTCAAGTGACAGACCCTTATTTGCACTGGGGCCACCTAACTCCAGAGTCCCACCGGGCCTATTTTGTTAAGCATTGAGGGTAGGAAAGTAAAGCAGAGATGGCAGTGTGGCATGTGGGGTGTGGGAGAAAAAGAAAATAGCACTGATACACAACACAGTGATGTGGCTATGAGAACCATATAGTGGGGATATTGTGGGAGCCCAGAACATTTTTTACCTCTCTTGGTTCTCATCAGCACACACGTCCAAAGACAATGTAAAACAGGCAGAGAGATACTCTCTGGGAACCAAAATGAAGTAATGATTGGCTCTGCTCAGGACAGTTAGAGACACTAAGACAACCTGCTGCTAAAAGTCACATGGTACCAGAGGAGCCAACCAGGCCAGCAGAGTGAGGCAGTGAGGTGAGGGGCACGAGGCCTGTGTGGGCAGTGGGAATGGAGAGGGCAGAAGACCTGGGACACCCATGGACCTGTAAAAGGCCCAGGAGCACAGAGCCCAGAGGCCATGTGGGCGTGTGCTGCAGGAACTGGGGGCTCCTGTAGGCAGAGACTGAGAAAAGCACTGCAGCTCCCAGGTAGTGACTCCCAAGCCACATAGCACAGTGCCCACCTCATTCCACCAGCAGTAGTGCTATCAGTACGGAGCAGGAGTGTGAGGTGATGATGCTTTCAGGGAGACCAGAGTATCAGATGCTTACTGAAGCCAAGTGCAGGCCAAAGTGATGGCAGCTCTATAGCATCAGGGATGAAGTTGCTGTATCATTAATGGTTTATCTCATTTTTTTTAAATACAAAGATTTGAAACCACTAGAGCAAACTGAAAATGCTAAGACTTGCCAAAGTTGGTCAGTGAGTACAGCTTGTTATGTGATCTGTACCACACAAAGCTCTGTGGTCACCACCCAAGCCTTTCCACACCTGGCCCCTGGATGCAGGTACTAGCTCCCTTGGGCCTGGAAACACTTCACCAATTGGCCCTGGTGAAGGGCCTTTCTTTGTTCCTACAGCGATCTGACAGTCTCTGTGCCAGAATGCCTCATTTCCTCTGGATCCAAACTGTGACGCCGAGTGTAGTCCTGTGCCCCCTTCTCCTTCAGATCTGTACTTACTCGCAAAGGATATTCCAGATCTATGATTTCAATGCTTCGTGTATGCTGGACTCCCTGACATTTCTCTCTAGACCAGACTTCCCTCCTGAAGTCCAGGTTTGTATGTCATACCCCTTCAGTGGTAGAGAGGTATCTCACATTGATGAGCTCCATCTGACCTGAGTTCAGTCCTTCTCTGTGATACTACCCCACACCTCCCTCAGTCTGTCCCCTCATCGGCTGCCTTTTCTTTTCCTTTACTTTTAAGTTAAGAAGATCTTTAAACATAAAAGGGAGTGTTACAACTATATACCCAATACCAAGATTCAAGATTTTACCACTCTTGGCTCATCTGTATCCTTTTCTTTTCTTTTTTTTCATTTCAATATTTAAAATTCACTAAGAAGTTTCCACTTTCAATACTTTAAAGCGACTTGAAGACATTATGTCATTCCACCATGGTCCCCAGCACCCCTGCTTTGGTTTTTTTCTTTGCATACATCATTTTCTGACATGTAATATAGTCATTTCATGTTTATAACCCCAACAAAGACAGGGGCTAGATGGTTTTCACTACTTCTCTACCCCAGTGGGTGCTCAATAAGTATCTCAGGATAAGGGGTGCCTCCTGCTGTCCCCATTTATCTGATGAACACTGATGATATTTCAGGTCTCTGCTTCAGCATCACTTCTCCCATGAAGATCTTTCTAGATCTTTCTGTGTTTTTTTTTTTTTTTTTTTTTTTTGAAGATCTTTCTAATACAGGTTTTCCCCTCCACTTCTCACCACAGAACTATTCTATTGCTGTCCCTCTGGGGTCTGCATGTGATTATATTATGGCTGCTAAAAACTCACGCACAGATATTAACACTATATCCTGTGAGTTTCTTCAATGTTGATCTAAATGCTTAAAAATAAATGTGAAGGTTCTTTGAGAATGATTATCCTACAATTTTTTTCAGAAATAAAGAATAAAAATTTGTCATATTCTTTACCAAAAAAGTTGAATAAACTCAACATTTTTCTTTTTTCTACCTTTCTTTTCTTCTTTCATCCTTCCCTGTCTCTCCTCTTTTCCCTTCCTTTTGCTTTTTACTTTATAAGAAGAAGTTAGCACATAAAAATACCAGCGTGAAATGCCAGCTATATACAGTATTAAAAAACAACTTAATTTAAAATCCAGGTTTGGATTTGAATTTACCCTGAACAGGAGAAGTAAGTAGAGTGAAAAAGTAAAAACATGTCAAATAAATTTGCATACCTAGATACTCATATTGATTTCAATACAAGTCCCTGGCAAACAATAAAGCTTATTTCACTTATGCCATTTGCAGAGAAAAACAATTGAGTCTGAACAGATAACAGTTGTATAGAGCACAAAAGTGAGAGGCCCTTTATTTTTTATTTTTATTTTTTGGTTTTTTTTTTTTTGAGAGGCCCTTTAAATTTAAATGTATAAGAGTATTCTCTCAAAAGGCATTAACACATTGCCCTAATAGTGGAGGTAAATGTGGAAATTGCAAATGATTTCTTTTTGCAGCCCTGAATGTTCACTTAGTCTATTTGATTCTAATTTTTTAGTACAAGAATTTTGCCAGTTTTATTATACATTAATAATATTTATTATCTGCTTAAATTTAAGTGTTCTAATATTTCTAACATTTTAAAAATATATTTTCTATTAGACTTATAATAAGCAAGATAATTATTTTAAAAATTATTGATAAAATAAGGGATAAATTTCTCTCTTTACTGCAGACATCTCTCTGTGCCACCATTTACTGGAAAATGCTAATAGACTCTAAGACAAGTCCTGCTTGTGACTGTGTAAATGTGCTGAAATATTAGTGAGGATATGATTTTTCACACTCTGGCCTTTTGATGAAACGCCTTCCCAATACCAGTGTGTCATCTTATCCTACAATTTCACACATCAGCTGCCAGGGCATCTACCCGAGAGCCCAGTTTCACATTGCACTAATGAGTCAACACCTGTTAAGAGTGGAGAAATCTGAACCTTGTTAGTGATTGCGAAGCCTCCTGGGAGTTTGGATGCTGAGCATTGTCATACTCACCGCTGGCGTGTCTGTACTGAGGACCCTGGCAGCAGCTGTGATGAAGTCCCCTACCAGCATTGAGAAGCCAGGCAAACCCAAGGAGAAGAAGCGGGGTGGACAGTGCCTTATAATGGTGTTTAAGATATCCTTAAAAAAGGAAGATAAAAAAACACAACTGTAATTTTCAATAACAAAGCAAGTATACATATGGCCACTGTATGATAATCTGAGGGAACACAGGTCACAGAAATTTTTCAGTAAAAGGGAAACTGGGAGATGAGTTAGTTCAAGGGCTATTGTACCCATTTTACAGATAAAAGAATGGACACTAAGTTGTAAGATGACATGCCCCAAATCTAAATCATGGTGTTGGGACTAGACACTCCTTCTTTTACCTAAAGGTGAGCTCTTTGGACAACCTATAGGAGTGCTGAGGTAGGTATACAAATAAAACCTGCAAACATTTATCATTTCTAGTAGTCTTCAACTTTCAAAAGTTAAAGCACACTGTTACATTAAAAAGTCACAAGTAGGCTAAGAGATGGAAATTTTCACTTTTTGGATAATTCTGTGTTAATCAATTGGAATGAATGGAGAGCAGTAATATTCTAAACTCAGGCAGTTGGGATGGCTCTGGGTACAAGTGTGATCATGATGCAAAAGTGCAAATACAGCAGTTGCCTTTTACATGGTGTGCAGTGTGAATACCATCAACTGCCCAGACACCTGGTGTTCTTGTGACTGGAATGGCCTGTTTGTCCTTGGTGGGTGGGAGGCTAGCCCCTGCCCACCAGCTCTGTTGTGAGGCAGCCACATTCCAGCCTGTGGCAAAGCAGGACTCCACTACTGGGCAGCATTCCTACTACCCACGGCCAGGACACATCTCTGTAACCATCTGTGCAAATGTGTGTGTACATGGGGGATTAGTCAGAAAACCACAAACTTCTTTATGCAGTTCTAGGCCATGCACATTAATCAAACCTACTGACGTACTAGACTTTATATGTCTTGTAGTTATTTAACCTATAGTTAGTCTCAAAAAACAAGCAAGAGGCATAATACAAAAAAAAAAATCTAGTTTCTTTTCTCAGATTTCAGGGTAGCAATTTAAGAAACTCTTTAAAATAATCCTGATTTAATTTGCTTAAGTTAGAGCAAAGTAGTAGCAACATGCCAAATTCTAATATGTTAAGTCCTTTGTAACAAAAATAACCTCATTTCACAACATGCAATCCTGAAAGAGAATTTTTATGTGTTCTCAATACATTTTTTCCCAAGATTTATTTTTTCCCTTACATAGTGGATTCATTTAGTTTCTACAAATTGTGTTGTTTATATCCTTAAAATGACTGTACAATGCTTACTCTTTTAGAGCTCAGATATGGTAAATAGTTTAGCAAGTACTAATTTAAAGTTTTAGCATTTCAGAATTTGTCCTATACCAAAAATAGATAAACAGAGGAAGGAAGGAAGGAAGGAAGGAAGGAAGGAAGGAAGGAAGGAAGGAAGGAAGGAAGGAAGGAAAAAACCTGACCCACACTTCTTCCAGGTTAATGTTTAACCCTACTTTAATCACGTCCTTTGATACACTTTAGGGTCCATATCAGCCAAGGCAAACATTCTAAGGGGCTCAGCAGATGGATGCTGCAGTTTAGAAAGTGTGTAGTAAACTCATGCTCCAAGAGTGGAACAAAAGATCCACCTTTTTCATAATTAAACCTCTGATTAATGCCCTGGGCTCCTCACCACACACCTGTAATTACTCACAGAGGTACGCATTGTGCTGGGCCTTGTCTCGGAATATCAGGCATCAAGCTACCCAGTAGCAGATGGAAACACATTTCTGTTGACATATGCTGCAGTGAAAGGATTCATGCAAACCTGGCCAGCAAGGTAGCAGAATGCCATGCATCTGAAGATTAATAATGCAAACAACCATGATGTTAACTTTGTTATGTTTGTGCTGATTCCATCTGTTGAGATGAGGAACTGAGCTTTGAACTCTGTGGATTTTTAAAAATATTTGGCATATAACTTAAATAAGCCAATTTCACCACTGGAATTTAGAGTTTAACTTTTAAAAAATGCTTTTCTGGGACAAATTTGTGGGAATTATGAACTGAATTCTTTAAGAATCTAGGGCTCGAATTTGTACATGAAATCTATTTTGCTTCACAAAATTTATCTGCATAAAGGTAATGCTCTGTAAATGGGGCATTCACAAAAAATTACTAAGTTCCCATTGATGCTAAAGACAGCAGAAATGCATGGAGCTGAGATAAAGTCCCACACCCCCTGGACCTGGGCCAGTCACTTCAACGGAACCTGTTTCTGTGGGCAAGAAGATTGGAAAGAGAGGGCACAGTAACAGATGGCTAGCCTACCCAACCCTGCCACCCACGTAAGACAGAGCCCTGAGGAGAAGCAGGGCCTGGGTAGTTGTCGCCAGTTACAGTCAGCACTGGGGTAGGGGTAATGTGGGAGTCAAAGAAGGAACTATATGGCCAGTCAGCCAAATTATGGCCATATGCCTGCTTATTTTGCTTATCCACACTGAAATGGAACAACCCAAAGATTCTATCTTTGTGGTAACATGTTAAAATTAGGAATAACTGTGTGGTGCTCAAAAGAGAGCAGCTGCATATTCCCAATAAAGGCACATCCACCAAAGGCTCTACTCATTTCTAGTAGAATCTTTCTTTCACCTTCCCTTCCATACAGTAAGATCACAGCTATGGCTGGAATCTCTGGAAAAATAAAAATCTGGAAACTGTGAAATTTTCCACGCACTTTCCTGGGCTCATATGTAGAGAAGACAGGAAGCTGCTTCCCAAATGTTAATTATTCATGTACGACGTTGTGCCTTTTGCCATATCCATGTCCAAAGTGAGCATTATTTGTCTTTTTTTGAAAGCAACTCACTTTTTTTTTAACTTAAATAAGATTATTCCAGAAAACTAGTATCCTACATCACAAATAAAAAATAAGCCTTATTTTTTTATGTATTTCTAATACAATTATGGTAAAGCAAGGCTACCAAATTTCTGTTAAATAGCACTGACAGAGGCTCCCCTTGTCATAAAGGGGAGCTTGATCCTCAGCGTGGTGTAAAAGCTCTGTCCCTGCTCCAGCTGGCCTACCTAAGAGTCTCAAGGACCAGTGAAGGTGAAGAAAAAGGCTGTCGTTCTTACTGGGTGACTGGATGCTATTCAGTGAAACCTGCATTTTTGTGACCACGAGGGGGAAATGCTCCTGAACACAAACCCTGCATGATGAAAAGAGATCTAGGACTGGGGCCTTGTGGCTTAGGTTCAAGGCCTAGTGTATTTGACTATGGGCTGATCATATCATGCTTAGGGCTTCATGCTTCTCTTCCAAGAAAGATGGATACAAAGTCATATCTGAAGTATATATGTAAACACATGCCCTTCTAAACTGAAAAGGGCCATCAGAAATAAATACAGTAACAATTTTTTTTTTCCAAAAAGGTAAGGACTCTGAAGGATTTTACTTTCTAGAATTTACTTTGTAGATTTACTTCGTAGAATTCAGTGCTGATATTCAGAAAGAGCAAAAGATTCAAAGGTGGCATAAATAAGCCTCTCAGATTACATTATTTCAGATATTAAAAAACTCTAGAAATTAATACTCTCAAATAACATTCTTAGCAAAGCATTCTAGCAATTAGCTATAATGTATATAGAATTTCTACGGCAAATAATAAAATAAAAATAGGAAAATGATATTTTTAGATTTTCTAGCTTTCATTCTAGAAGAATTTATAGAATTTATAGGAGTTACAGAATTTACCCAAAACAAGTGAATCTGGTAGCAAAAATTAGTTTCTTTTCCCACACTCTAAACAGGCTAAAAACAATTAAGTAAAACAATAAGTCCAATGAAAAATGGACTCTAAAACAGGAATCAAGTTTATTCTTGAAAATTGACCAGTATGAAGCACAGACAAAACTCTTTTACATGTTTTTGCTCAAAGGAAATAAACTTCATTCTGCAATATACTGCAATATAGCAAACAGACCACCAAAGTAGTATTCTTCTCCTGTTTTTGGTTAAAAGTCCACATGCATTGTACACATTGAGTGCGAAAGTGGATTGTAAGATGATAATTGTGAGTTTGCAGCTTATCAAAAGATTCCGGCTTATGAGAAAGTAACTGGCGAGAACATCTGCCTCTTATCACTGATCTTACAAAAAATCAGGTAATTCAAATAGAGGCGTGTTGTTTCCTCTCCTCCAAAGCACCGTTCTATAAACACAAACCACATTCAGCCTGGTAAATGAATCGCTTTAATTGAATGCTATGTACACAGTAACTGGAAAAACCGTAAGTGATAAGAAAAACATATGGTGATGGCAATAGAAATTGGTTTATTCATTTTGCATAGTGTTGTTTCTTTAGTTCTCTTATAATTGACCTTTAGAACGATAAATGTGTAAAATAATTTTGTTTATTATGGCTCCAAACCTTCCAACAATTACACAAAATGAAAATTTAAAAGGAAGGATTCATTCTGGAAGCATTTCCATTGTCTACATAATTGCACAGCTATAATTTAGTGCTCGTGTTGTTATGGAAAATAAAAAAAGGGCCATTACAGGCCATTTCAATTCAAAATATTGCACAGTGGTGTCAAAAATGGGGGAAAATGTTCACTTTAAAGCAGTTTAAAATGGATTAACCCTGTAAACAAAAACATTTCAATATAGTATTCTATGAAACACAAATGTTCAAGAAGTAGCCATCATTCAAATGGAATTAGAAATGTTGCAACTGTACTTTCACACCAATTACATATATATTATTCACTTAATATTTGCTCACGGCCCAGCAGATGATGGTTGTAACACAATAGCCGACCATCTGTCTCCTTGCCTTTCCTCAGCGGACTCGTGCCTGCTCCTCAGGAGCAAACAGATCCGGTTATTCCACCTAAAGTCACACAGACCTTCCAGGAGGCCAAAGAGAATTGTTAAGAAATAAAATTCATGTATAGAAAAAAATCACTAATCTCCTTCTTTTTTACTTTAAGAAAAATAAAATGCTACATAATGAATAATTTCACTATTTTTCAAAGATACCTGCCTTTTATCTAGAAAAATCTAGAGGGAGCTCTTTTGTTTGGTAA